GATTTCCCTCTGCCAGATCGAACTATAATATATAATAATAATAATATTATTTGCTTACTGTTTCAATCGTCTTGTTCTTTAGACACACAGTAAATTTAATAATAATTATCATCATAATAACTCGCTCGAAATTATATACAGCCAGTTTTGCTCCATTGTAGTTTAATCAGTCATTAAATTAGTCTTCTCTTCTGTTTTGAGGGCCCAAAATAAATAAAATGTCATTTTCTTTTAACACAGATGCTTGTTGTCGGAACGTGCTAATAGTCGGATTCTTTCGAAGCACAAACAAAAACAGTCGAAGTTACCCATGTGAAAAAACATGTTTTCCCCTTGGTTATTTTTTCAATACAATTTCATCTTATCCTTACTTTTGTGCAGACTGGGTATCCATATTTTTTTGATACATATAGAAGTTATCACAAATTACATGTCGCAATATCAAATTGTATAATTTTTCAAATGGAAATTTGTTGGACTGTACGAAATAACCTTGGACCATTTTTTTTAAGTTTTTCTACATCTTGTACAGTTTGGATAAGCATAGTGTAACTAACAGGAGTGTATGCAGAAACTACATGTAGAGAAGCAAATTTTTCTGAATATTTAAAATGTGATTAATTTGCAACACTTTGCGACAATATAATCAAGTTTTTGGAAGGAATGAATATATAAATTTTGTTTTTTACTTCCCAAGCGTAAGAGAAGAAAGTATTGTAATCGAGTCCATCGGCCGACCCCCTAATTTTACGTTTTCTCGACCTTTCATAACCCCTAGTGACGAAATAAGTCTCCCGTTTCCGTCTGTGTTTCAGTCTGTCTGTCCGTCTGCCGTCCCGATTTTTATTAGACAGATAATCTCCGAAAGTACTGGGCCGATAGTTGTCAAATTTTGTCTAATCATCCCCACCAATAATGTGATGACGTCATTTCAAAATTGTACACAGTAATGGGTTTTGAATTGAGCCGTATTGAGTTTTTACCCGAAATCTCCAAACCGAATGCTTTGAAATCTTGCAGATGTTTTAAAGTTATGATACGCACGATAAAATTTTCAATCAAAATATATTTACTTAACCCCTCCAAAAAATTCATGACGTCAGTTCAAAATTTTGCCGAATAAATCCTATCTAAATTGTACGAAATATGATGAGTCTGTCCTTGTAGTTTATCATTCCTTTCATATTTTTTTGGATGTGCATATACAGGGTGGGCTATTTTATTGATTTAATCAGGAACTACAAAACCAAATGCTTTGAAATCTTGGACATGTTTTAAGGTATCATAAGCATGGTAAATTTTTGATCAAAATGTATTTGCTCATCCCCCCTAAAAAAACTGATGACGTCACCTTGTTGAATAAATCCTATCTTAAATGTATGATGAATCAATACTTACGCATTAATATTTTTAGATTTGTTTATGCGGGGTGTCTCAAAAAAATTAATAACTGAGTCAATTTATTTTGTTGATTAAATCAAGAATTGTAAAATTGAATACTTTGAATTCTTGCAGACATTTTGAAGTTGTTGTAAGCATCCAACTTTTTTACTTTTACTTTCATATTACATACATATCTTTATTTTGACTTACATGGGTTATCATAAAAAAATCAAACTCGCATACTTTACTTCAGGAGCGAGGGAAGTTATGTCGAAATAACCTTCGACTATTTTTTTTTACCATGTTCACGATAATGCAAAATATATATTACAACAATAATTTTTTAGTTTCAAAGATAAAGTGTAAAATTTGATTGTACAGCTTTGAATCTTTCCAAAAATGTAGACGTCCTATGTCAAAAATAAAGCTAAGATAACGTCACATCATTTGTGGTTGGAATGAATGGACAAATTTTAATTGATTGAAATATCGATATAATGCCTTGGAAATAAACTAAAAATTTTAGAACCAGGTTTAGGGCATTATTTGTCAAATTAAATCGCCAACAAACGAGAGTTAAACGGGAGCCCTACTGTTCCATATTCTAGGAACTACGAAATATTGAAAAAACAATACTTACATAGCCTGCCCTCGAGAAGTAAAAATACCGATTTTACTATTTAAACAAATGATCACGTCATTATTGCGAAAAATTCAAATGAAAATAAGTACTTTAAATTAACGGTAGAATGTGGTTTTAAAAACATACAACGGATATTGTGTGAATCCACAAATTTTAGTTGGGATTTTCTATTAAATTACATAAATGTTAGAATACACACTAATATACAATGTGATCGATTAGATGGTTCCGAAGATTAATAAAATCGCCAAAAGATTACAAACGGACGGAAACGGAAACCACCATTTTTGAAAACTATAGACAAAATTAAAACGTGATCGTTTCACAATATTTCCCTAGTCATCTTTCAACAATACTTTATTTAATAATTTTTTTGAGATGAGGTCACCGCATGTTAAAATTTCTAAATCATCATTAGTGTTTTAAAACATTTCAAAGAACTCTTTTGTGTAATCGTTGACATGAGCTGTAAAATTTAATGACCTGAACTTTGTTAAGATAACCAGTACGAAAAGTAATATTTACTTCAAATTAGTTTGCGATGACGTCATTAACCGTTTGGATGGATAAATAGACGAATTTTAATAGATGTTTTACTATCTTCACGATAATCTCGAACCACACTTAGAGGTCTATTTTGTAACTCTTAACGATCTCGCTAGAGCATCGTTAACTTACGATAATCGTTCCCATAACGATTTTGGGACTAATAGCGATTTTGTAACATCTATCGTCTCGTTACATAGCGATCGTATCGTTAGAATGTCATCGTTCCGGAACGATAGGTTTCAGCTCACCGTTAGAAGTGTCAGAACACGTTAGAAAAGTATTTATACAACGAAGAGGAACGTTTTGGTGCAAATATGGGTAGAGAAGGTAAATATAAGTAATTAATGTATGTTTGGATTAGGTTGATAACTTATTATATATTTTTTTTTACTGCAGAGACAGAATGAGAAATTTGTCTCGGGTCTTAAGAGATGTAAACGACCCCTTGATCGTTCGAGAAGAAACCTTTAGGAAGACCTACCAACTCTAATGGGAAGCGGCGAGAGATACATGTCCAGAAATACTGCCGCAGAGTTCTGTATTATTCACCAGAAGTTGCAGGAAAAATTATATACTCATGTGCTATTTCACACAACATCTTACGCATAAGAAATATCGAAAATGACGAGATCAATATTGTCTATGACAAGGAGAACGATAATAATGAAGAACTTGAATATGAATAACACAATTTACTACATGAATGGCATATCACAAGAAATAATTTAATAATACAGCATTTTCAATAATGTATTTATTATTTTTTTTACAACATAATGAAATTATTAAACAGTTCCTCTTTCATATAGTCTTAAATTTCTGCCCTTCTTTCAAACATTGAATTTCCAATCTACAAATCTCTGGAACACACAGTGACGTTTACTTACCAGGCAGTACATTGTAATTAGAGTGCCCTATGTTATATTCTTGGTGTACTAAAAAACACAGAGGTTATGGTTTATTGTGTAACAGTATTTATAAAGATTAAACATCTCAGTTCTCATAATTGATTGGTCATGACTAAACAAGATGTTCACTTTGTCTTAAACAAAGTGTTGATGTAAGCAGAATAATTGCTAATAGTTGTACGATAAATTATAGTAAAGTACACATTTTTAAAAAGAGTGTTCGGGCGATTAATTAATTACACATACCTCTCTGAGTTGCTGAACACTTTTTTGTGGTCCTCCCACAGAATTTAGTTTTGCTACCAACCCTTCCCATATCTTTTCTAAAAGATCTGGTTTGTCCGCTACGAACTTTTGGGCCCTAAAATCTACATTACCTTCTAACTCCTCCACATACAACTCATGTTACTCTTGGGTAATACGCTGGGCCCTTTTACGTTTTTCCATTGCTCCCGTGAACGTATTGTAAACTGAATTTTGTGTTACTGTGATTATTTTGATGTTTTTCTTTTATAATTATTGTTTACTTACATGTTATAAGTTCAAAAATTTGTCCAAACTTCAATCAGTAGCAAAACAAATGTCACATGTCACAACAGAGAACAACGTAATCTAGACGCTACACAAATTTAAATACTACCGATTCTAAAAACATTAGATTCATCGTTCCGCTAACGATTTCAAAGCTTTACGATTACGATAGTGTTTATAAAATTGGAAATTTGTACAATCTCGCTAAACTGATTTTACGATTGCTTCTAACGATTATCGTTTGGGAACGAGATCGTTCCGGAGCGATAAATTACAAAATAGACCCCTTTAACTTCAAACTATTGCAGGAGATGGATCTACTAAATAAATTGCTTCGTTTAAGCAAAATTTACTTGGCAAAAATTTTAAGATGACGTCATCAAATTTTTGGTAGGACTTACAACTTAATGTTGTTCATATTTACTTACTATTACATACTTCTTTTTAGGTCATACCAATTTTAGTACTTATTGAAGACATTTCCTCTACATGATAATCGATAAATCTGATTATTCAGTTGTCACAAAGTAACCAAAACTATTTCCCATTACCCATTTCCGTTGATACGAACAGTGAAATAAATTCAGGGAATGTGTTCCAGTTTGGTTTCGGAAAACCAACTGCACCGTATTATGATTATTATGGGAAAACTAAATTCATACCACATGTACGTTCTACCACAAATTGTTATACATAAAAAGATCTAAGTCTAACATTAAAATAAACAATGCACCCTTCACCGAATGTGTTCCAGAGAGTATGCAACGTACTCCAATTCGTGTTCATCCGTTTGGCGGAAATAAACAATATTTAATGTTTACATTTTTTTTTTCAAATGATTTCAAACTTTCGCACTCTAAAAAACAAACAAATACAATCATCGACAAATTGTATATTAATAAACCGATTTGGCAATGAACCCTTCGGACCGATTATGAAACTCGCAAGCTTATCACCGCCACAATCATCACACCGAGCTTACAAACGCGCAATCCTTTAGTCACATCCCAGCAGAGCGCGGTATACCGCGAACGACATCGATAGTCGATAGTAATAAATGCTCACGTTGTGATTTTATTCACATCGTCTTATCAAAGTGACGTGGTATAACATGATTGTGTTCAGTAGGTGTTTTCGTAGTTTAGAAGTGTGACATAAATCGGTGTTTTGTGCCCCTTTTGTTAACAAACCGTCCCTACCTAGGCTACCAAAGTAAGAAAAAATTGGGTAATGCGCTTTACCTAATTGTGTCAAGATTCTATAACGTGATTGTACATCTAATCTTATCTAACCAAATGTACAAACAAACCGATTGTCAGAAAAGTCTTATCTGCAGTTTTGTTTTTCTGAAATGAGTTTTGTTTAATGCAGGTGCGAAAAGTTTATTATAGAAGTAATTTAAACAAAGCTCGGCTTCAATTTGCGATTAAAAATAAATGCCCTGAGAAATAACAAATAATATGTTGATCATTTTAAAAGTGTTGGCTTGTTGAAACAGAAGATCGTAATAGTAGTTCTAAGTAGGTATCTACTTAAAGAACCAGTTAAATTATTTAAATGATACTTCCTCTTTATCAGTCTTAATTTCATACACTTCAAGTACTCATTTCATTGCACGGTGTTGTGTTTAATTTAGTGTATCATTAAACAAATAGAAGATGGTATTCATGTTTTTGTGTGCATAAATAATTTTATTGTTTATGGTTATTTAGTGGACTTCTCTCACATTAGGAAAAACACTCAAATTAACCTCGAGAAGCGGTTTTCAGCCCAAAACTGTCATTGATTTTAATATAGTCACCACATGCACGTTTATGTCTTTGCATAGTGTTTTATCGTCATACAAGGGTGCGGTTAAATGTTTAAAAGCTTTTAATTAATTGTAGCAAAAAATTACTCTTCGTTACCTGAAATTCAACGCTTTTTATCCCGGTCATTAAACGCTTATCTTGAAATGACTAATCTTCAACCAGTGACATATCATAAATAACCTTTGTTAATCATTTTAGGTGGCCTGTGAAAATTTCCGCAAACTGAAAATGTAGCTTACAAGGAAAAATGAAGAAATCGGAAACGGAAGCAATTGTGTCGTTAATATTTCTTTTATCATCTGCTCTGACTTCTGCGGTTTTAACAGGATATGAGAATCGGGATATTACGGACGACAACCAGTTCGGATGCTCTTGGCAAGGAGGGACCAGTCCGGCGCTGATTTGTAGTTGCAGAGTGGACGCAGAGGTATTACTTTTTTAATGTTGGTAACCCTGTAGCTAAATTGATAACAATAGTTACATTAAATCCGATAATTCCCACACACGATACGAGAATTAAATTTTTTGTCTGTGTAAATAGAAATGAGTCACGGCGGCCAGGGTCGCCCAAATACGACCATGTACTTTTTTCAATATTTATTTTTGTCTAAGTGAATATTTAAATGTCATAATTTATACTTAGTTTTTGTGTAGGTGGGCGAGGGGAGACTTGAATTGTCGTCAGTGGGTTATTACGGCGCACTAATAATTAATGAGGCCGGAATTGAATTCATTTTGTTGCTTCTTCTGAAATAAACGGCACACACTTGAAGCTTTAGAACTTCAATAGAAACCGCATGACCGCATTATTAGATTTTCTTTAATTAGAGCACTCGAACTATGCATGCGGTTATTATTGACGTATCAAATTTAGTTATTTATTGTCATTTGAGATTTATCGTGTTAACTACTTCATTGAACTCGAGTAAAATTTGTATTTATAAATATTAAATATTAAAGTCAAGTCTATGTTCAAGTTTCGAAAAAACAAAAATATTCAAGTTTATATTTCGCCTGGGTGGTGCGCTAACTTTTAAAGCAAATATTGAAGACACGGGCAGGTTCGATATTATCATATTAGAACACTGGCAAGGTGGGTGTTAAAAACAAACTGAAAATTTGTACAAATTATGTATACTTATTTCTTCGGACATTCTCGCATAAGAAGCTTTGCCCCAGATATTTAATGCATTGTAGAAATAGAATTACGTTAGTTTTGTTCTTAAAATATGCAGTATTTAGAACATGAACGAAATAAAGGAGGCGGAAACGAGCCTTTGACGACAATTTTAATTTTGTGTTGAAAGAAATTCGTTTAATTTCGCTTAATAATGTAGAAATGGAACGATGAATCCTAGTTGATGGTGATTTGTTTGTTTCACCTACACAGAAAGTTAACAAAAGTAATAAAATAAATACACATGTTTGTTTTACTACCTTGCAAAATGATATTTTTAAAATTGCTGTTCCAAGTATGCAAATATTGTAAAATATTAAATGCTATTTATAAACTTTACTATTTATTTAAATATTGAAAAAACGTGGATAGTATTACCAAAATTAGTACCAATACACAAAATGTTGTTATTAGTTTCACATGTTTCACTTCTGTGTTAGCTAATTCTAGAGTACTTATAAATTTGTGGAAATGGAATGTTTTTTCGTTTTAGGAAAGGTTTTAGTTTCTTAGAATTGGTTATATAATATAAAACTTCTAAGAATTTAATTGTGTCCAAAAATTTAATGGAAGTAACTTTTACGAAGGAAGGGTCAAAAAAGATGCTCATGTAATCATTAACATCCCCATAAGAAGGGCCATTTGAGCTTTTTGTAAATATTTCAATATTATACGATGTCACTAAGCACGAGCTCCTAGATACCCCGTTAATTATTACAAATAGAAAAAAAAGTTAAACACCAAAGTTGTTCGGTTTTTTTATGAAATAATGACCATAGACTAAAATTATTTTCAACTCTGTAACGTGTTTTACACGTTTTGTTGATTTTTTTTAGAAACGGAACGATTCAGAAAAAAATTGCAATAAGGTTATTTTTAAAATCTGTGTTACTATATTCTGTGGAGATATAAATACAAGTACGCGCTTTGTTGTGGTATAAATAAAATTGAGTCTTAGTAAACAGATTGTTTATAAACCAGATTAAAAAAAAATCAATCATTCCTGTTTTTTTTTTAATTCTCTGTTCCAATAATGATAATAATGCATATAACGACCTTTTTAAATGCAGTTTAAACCAAAATAAATTGAACACTGACTCGAATAAAATATGTTTCTAACATAACAAAATGTTAATTTTCTGTAAATTGTTTACTTTTCGACCATAAATTTTTGTTTTCTCGAAATTTCATGCCTCCCAGAGTATGAGAAAGTAGATCTCCGGTTCTGTCTGTGTCAGATAATCTCCGAAATTATTGGAATGATTGTTATTAAGTTTGATTTGTATTTTAGTTACATCGTATAGATGGTGAAACGATAACCAAAATTTGTCTGATCATCCCCACCAACAATTTGATGACGCTACTTAAATATTTTGCATTGTAAATGTTATTTAAATTTTATACAATAATTATACTCCTAAACTTGTGTTTTATGAATCCGCCTAGAACTAGAACTATAGAGGTTATCATAAAAAAATTCGGAAAATCAAATTTTACCTTGGATCGATATTCAATTTAAGAACAAATATAACAAAACATTAATTAAAAATAGTGGATTAAACTTTGTAAACGTAAAAAATAACACTCTTATTAATTAGCGATGTAAACGAAAATAAATTCTTTTTCTTGCTCAAAAAAGTCAATTATTCAACATGATACGGAGTCGCATACAAAAACTGAATAAACAAACATAATTAAAACTCCTGTTTTTGTTGCTACTTTTAAGAGTCGTGGTTCCCAATAATTGAAAAACTGAAAAAAATTAATTGTTTTTTTTCAGTGATGTTTCAGTTTTTTTAACTCTTTTTTCCCCAACCCTGTTATAAATAATTTTTAAATTGCCTCAATTTTTAAATATTGACTTCAGTTTTTTCAAATAGAACCTTCTGTATTTTATTACCACATTTTACTTATATGCTCCTTGTTCTTTTCATTTTTTTGTTAAGTATTGTTTACTTTGATAGTTATTGCGTTTTTTACTTTTTTTGAGACAGACCGACAGGGTGATAGAAAAAGAACAAAGATAGAGGAAGGTGCAGTAATAAAATACAGGCTCTTCTATTTGAAAAAAAAAACCTGAAATTTCGATATTTGAAAATTTTTAGACTTTTTTATAAACCCTCTGTATCCTAAAATTTGATTTAATGATACCACATCAAAGCCCGTACCTCTATTTATCTCTCTATAAAATATTGCAATACAAGTTTTAAAAACAACATTATTGCGATTTTTTTTTTGATGAACCGTTGATTTACTAAACAAATTAAGAATATTGGAAAAAAGTGTCAACGTCACAAACGGAATTTCAAAATTCAAACATGTACATAAACATATACAGGCTGTTCAAAAAAAAGCGATATAATTTTAGTATCTGAATATTTTCTATCTCTAATAATTAATGGATATCGGAGGCAGCTAGTTTAGTGATATAAATTTGTAAAATTCCAAACAAAAATATACGAGTTGAAAAGTCATTACAAAAAAGATCCCAATAAATTTTGTCGCCCTTCCTCGTAACAAATTAACTGATTTAAAGTGAACATTCACCCCTATTTTATAAGCGATGATTGAAAATATTTTCAAAAATTGAACATTGTTTGTCTTTAATTGGCTGGACTTTTTTGGAGCAATAATTTAAGAAACGTAGGAACTTTTGCTGTCCTTGATTTCCACAGTCGAATTTTATTAAATTTGAATGTTAAACGTGTAATGTTTTAATTTGTTTAAAATTTTTGAATGCATAAATTCTTGTTTTCGCCAAAAATGGATACTATTTAAAAAACTGAGTTGAAGCTCTTGCAGTTTAAAAAAAAAATTAAAAACTGGTTTGACGCCATAAAAATAAAAACTTGAGGTTTTTGCTGAGCCTTCAAATAATTCTTCAGATTTTTTTGCAAAAATATATCAACATGTATTCATCATTAATTTTTCACATCGGATCTAAATTATATTTTTTAAAATTGACCCATATTTCTCCATCTGGTATAATTCTGGAGTGTTTGCACTAATATATCTATAACATTATTGTGAAGATTCCACAAGGTTTCTTTTTGCAAAAAATGAATCTAATTTCGGGATTTCAAGTCTTCCAAAAATAATATCCCATTAGGTTACTATTTCAACACCTTTAAAAAAATTATATTCTTACAATGCTACTTATATACATATTAACTTGTAGTTTTGTGAGTCAAAAATGTGGAAAAACCAGATTTAAATTCAAACTCCACCGCGAAAAAACCCCTTATTGAGTACCTAAATTTTCTATTATTTATCTTTTTTTCTGCAGTTACAATAAACAACAAACAGTTGTGGACAGCTCAACCTCTTTTTCGATTATCTAAGCAAATTTTATAATTGAGGTAATGTAGTAGAAAATTTCCAGAACAAGTTTTATCTCACAAACGTGTCAAATAAAAAAAGGTGTGCACATCTTGACCTGCAGAAACCAAGAATCTCGTATCTTTAACTCAGCAAAATTGCCTGAATGTCAGCAACGACGAAAACGAGACCATACGTCTTATTTCTTGTCCGCTTTATCTGTAACAGCCTGGAAAACCTTGAAATAAACGTCCTTTTAAAATATTTGGAAAATTGTTGTTTCTACGATGTGGTTATTTTTCAAGCAACTACAAACACTATGCTAATTTTTATTCCACTGGAGATAAGATTAATTCACTTAATATTTCCGTGTAATTATTCATCATGCTGTCTAATCACTAATTACAAATCCCATCCGACAAATTATGCATGATATATCTTTTACAATTCTCCGTGGTTCAGAGTATCTGCATTCATTCATAATTAATTCATTATTATTTAAAAAAATCGACAGCTCGCAGCCACTTCCCCTTTACTTATTCCTGTTCATTCACAATCTCTAACGCAGACTTATTTTCAGGAAATGACAATAACCAAAAAGTCCATATCCTTGTACGACACTGCAGCAATCGAAATCAGCGCTTGCAAGAAAGTCCGCTTCACTTCTGAATCCGTGGCTGACATGCGCACCCTCAGAAACATCAATTTAAAAAATATTGAATCCTTATACTTCGAAGAACACAGCTTAACCTGGTATGGATATCGTGCTTCAAACTTATACGACGAGCCGTTCGACTTAAGCATCCCCTCGCTGAAAATCACCATCGAGAATTCCAACATCACTCAAATTTCCGGTTACACGTTCGAGGGACGCATCAACAGCATTTACTTCGATGGGGTGATTATCGAAAACGCTGATCCCTTCGCATTTAACGCCCTTGAGCAAACCCAAGACATTACATGGAGAAACGTGGAAGTAAAGAACGCCCGAGAACAAACCTTCAAGAAGTTTTACACCGAGAACTTGGAGCTGAACAATGTCCGGACGAATATTGTTCCGAGCAGATACATACACAACATAACAGTTTATAAAACTTTTAAAATAACAAACTGTGTGTTCGATACGGTACGTCCGGGTGCTTTTATCGTTAACAATCCTAGAACTTTCGAAGTGACAGACACTAAAATTAACCACTTGGATGGTGAAGCGTTTAAAGTCAAAACGAAGGGTGACGTCGTTTTTCGGAATAATGTATTTGACGTTATTAATGATGGAGCTTTTCGTGCTATACTTCTTCACGAGGATGTACCTCTACGCAAGGCAACTATCGCCTTCGATTCAAATGTGTTTGCAAAATTAACACGTGATTCTTTGGGGATTAATGCAGAGTTTCGACCGAAATTTTCAAACTTGTACATAAATGAAACCTGTGATTGTAAAAGTATTGACCATAATATTAAGGAAGCGGAATTTTATTCGGAAATTAAGTGTAGGTTGGACGGCGAGTTTGTAACGGTTGAAGAATACAAGTCTAACATGTGTTCAATAATGCAGAGCTATTCAAATGTCATTATTATTGTAGTTGTGGTTCTTACGCTATGCTTTATAATTGGAGTAGTGTTAGCAGTGTATTACAGGCGAGTATATCTTAGTAAGAAGTACGGTAGTGAAAAAAACTCGAAGAAAGGCAACATGAGCCTGATAGTGCCTGACGGAAGGACATATCGAGAGACAGAACTTCATGTGATTGTAGAACGTGCTGATCTCCTAACCACGGATTTGTAACTTTATTTTGAGAAAATCTGTACCGATAGTTGACAGTATTCTAACGACTGATAAGTTAGATGTTAATTTAATTTAAGTAACTTATTGTACGAAATTGTGATTCAAGTATTATTTTGTGTAACTATAGGACGCTTTGTTTCAAACCTTTTGAGCACAACTTGAGGCGTTTTAAGTTTGGAACAAAGACAAGTATTTCAACAGATCGTTAGTCACATTTATAAAAATCTGTCATAAGATGAACTTTTTGATGAGTAATCTATATAAACAATGTACAACCATAAAATTGTACAAACAGTGACGCAGTTACCAGTAATAAATGTTTTTGTTTAGTTACGAAGAATCCTTGGAGACCTATACCGCAAATACCAAAGCTGTCGTCGGGGATACTTTACGTGTTTTGTGAAAACGTAAAACTCATCACCACTACATGTTTATTGCAATTCATGTCGTATATATGTAGAATTGCCTCTAAAAAGCAACGTAAAGTTCATCAGGATAAACATTTCACATAATGTATACAGTGCTATGGTATTTATTTTTTACTCAGAAAATGAAATGTGGGCGCAAAGCCTGCAATGTTTTTAATGACATTATCAACAGTCTTGAATGAATGAGAAAATGTATTTAAAAAAAAAGTTAAATTTAGGAACACAGGATCATTTGCAAAGAGCAACGGATTAATTTTTTTTTAGATCAGATGATTTTTTCGTAACATCCTGTCACATTTACTAAACAATATAGCAATTTTACTAGACGTCACACTCTATTTTTCGTCTGAATGATCTAATTTAAACAATGAATCATGGGCGGGGCTTTAATTTATCAGTATTGGAATTCACTTCTAAATTGCTGTTATTCGCTACTGCTTATTTTGTAGTACTGTAATAGCGGTTATATTGTATTTTCAGAAAATTAGACTGAGCGTTTGAGTAAATAAAAATTCAGTTCATTTTTACCCTCTATAATTCTGTTATGCAGTTTTATTATATTAAACAGTTGAGTTTAAAAAAAGTTTACAACAACTTATATTCAACAAAAGAAGTTTATATAAAACCAGCCACGCTGCATTCCAAATTCAAGGAAACATATTCTTTAGTATTATAGTGTAATTTTGTTTTAACTGATGTGCAAGTCCATTATGGGTCGTTAAAATCTGTATAAATAATTATTTAAAACGCGTATCAAACCATCATCTTCTATTTATAATACACCGTGAAACACGTCAGTGTTAAACAACTTTTGTAGTACGCAATGATGACACCAGTACTTCCTGTGTTTCCCTAGTGCATGTATTATTTATTACCTGATTTATAACTCATGTGTTAATTAATTTAATTAAAACCTATTATAGTCAATAAACTGCATTTGAAAAATTATAAATAAAAAAAAATCAACGTAGAGCGTTAGGGAAGTTGACAGAAGACCACCCTTTGATTGGTAGTTTATAAAAGTTCGAATGTACAGCAGCTACAAAAGTTGAGAGTCACTTTTGACCTAATTACTTCTTATTCGGTGCTGTGGGTGTACATACGTGTTAAAATTGGTACATAATTTTGGTTGTAATTTTATGAAAGGGCAGTTTTTTAAACAAAAATAAATCTCATGCGACGCCACAGTCCGCTTTATTATTTATATAATTAGTGTAATTTCACGTTTCTAAACATTTTCTAATATGAAATGTGTAAAACTTTGACTATTCCATTAACACGTGTTATTGTGTTTTTGTTTGTTTGTTGGAGAGAAAGAACCGTGAAAATTGTCAGAAGTTAAGTTAATAACATCGTGGGCCGGGGGATGTGTAGTTTAATTTGTTCTTTTTTTGATGTTGTTATTTGTGTATCACCGTTTCACAAGTTCAATTTGAATATTTTATTGTTGAAATATTCTCGCAACGCGGGATGCGCACCAAACCTGATTTTGATTTTGTCCGTATTAATTAGGTGCCTGTGGGTTTATTTTCATATATACTTTGTTTCATGATATGTGAGATTTACTTTCGGTCAACGACGATGTATATGTGAACACAGATGTTGCTTTAATCATTAGCTTGAATTAATGCATAATTTAACTTCATGTAAATTCATCTTGTTCAAAATTATTGACGGAGTGTGGCGTAATTAAACGTTGCTTGCTTCATTTCTTGTAACTCTAACGCGTATTCAGTTATCGTTATAAATGCGAGAAAGATTATTATTTCTTTCATTTTTAATCGAAAAAACGCGGGATGAAAGCGGAACACACGGTTTCTAGTCAAAGCTGACGGTCTTCCTTTTTCATTTGCCCAAACGGATTTTTAATTGTAAACTTCGTGGGGAGGCACGCGTTCAAGTTGTTTTGCGAAGACGGAGTGTACAGTATAATATGCGACAGGTTTTTTGGGCATTGTGGTCTGTTATACTCGTTAATAGAGTAAAATCACCAGGCAGGATGACAAGTTACTACGGGGAACTTAAATTCCCATCTCGTTACAACATCCTCTGCAGCACGTTTGTTGATATCTCGACTATAACTTGAGTTTTTTTCTTTTGCTTGTACCTACATTCAATATTCAAATATTTGTATTCAAGGCCAAGTTTTGATTTTTTTGTGGATTTTAAAATTTTGTGCTCATGTCTCATTTTGGTTAGGATATTTGGGTTAACACAACAAATTTACGTCCATTTTGGAAACCGTGTTTACTAAAAACAAAAACAAAATACCGGAATAAGGTCATAAATTTAACAATCGCTTTTACTTGCTAAAAATGTAACACAAAAACTTGTTTCTTGCTAAATTTTTAAGTTATTTTCTAAATTGAAAAATAACTCTTTTACTTGTTTTGAATGTAACATGATCCTACCATCTGAATTAATCTGATATTAAAGTAGAGTCTGCCAAATAATGAATATTATTTTCTATTGATTGGAAGGGCACTAATAAACGGCTTAGAATTATGGTAGTGATAATTTACAACCCTCACCTCCTCTCCGATTGCTTGCCTGAAAGGAACAAAGATTGCATGAATTAGATATCTATCAACACATTTTACGTTATCATGGTCAACGACGTCCGATCCGGACAAGCAGCCCAAAAGCAGGCAAGCGTTGTAAATCATCACCATTATAATTCTGAACACTTTATGGGGGACATGGAATAAGCACTTTTGGAAACAGAAAATCAATGTTCACTATTTGGCGGACTCTATTTTAATTAAGCTAAACAAAAGTGATATACGTATTATATAGGTACAGGTAAGCAACTTTCTGTATTGTAAGAAAATCCTATTATTATATTTTGTCCAATTAAAATCGCACTTACAAAAGATAAATTATATCAACTTACAAAAACAATAATTTATTCAGTATTGTTGTGTCCTAATTTAACAATTAAATTTTGGAGACCTTGGGGGTTTGGAAAGTACAGCAGTTACAAAGTTTGAGGGCACTCAGTTACTGAATTGTTTGGTTGCAGTGTAAACACGTGTTCAAATTTTGTTTGTAATTGAAAATTGAAAATGAAATCGCATTCGACGCCATGGTCTCACTTCAATAAGTATAATTAGTGTAATATTCATTTATTAATTTTCTCATCTAAAATGTTGCATAATTTTGACAAATTTTTATGTTTGCAAATTCATAGTTCATTTCAGGATTTTTAACCGTTCAAGGTTTTAATGCACGTAGCCGAAATTCACTTATTCAGGCTCAATTTATTTCAATAACGACGTCTAAAAGTTCTGGATAGATTTTAACTGAGTTCTTATATCATACACACTCAAAATAGTTTATTTATAACATTTAAATTAATCTTAAAAGACCCATTTTGATAAAACGGGCCTTGAAAATTATCATCGGTTAAATTAATATCATCGCGAAGACCCAATGGGGGGAGGGGGTATTTTATGTTTATTTTGTATTATTCCATTACATAATTCGCACCTAGTTTGCCCAACACACGTCTGGAGGGATGTCCCGACAAATTCTACACATACTCTGTTTAGGAGTAGTGAAAAAAGTGTGCGCCTTTGAAAATCTATGAGAAAATTTTATTAGAAAAGCAAGTCATATACTAACCATTTTGACGATCCACCTATAAAGTAAAATCTTTGATTTAATAAAAATTTAAACATAACGTTTAAGATAATAATTAAGATTAATAATTTAGGCGCAGCTTAAATTTGGTTAACGAATTCACTACTACACAGTCTACACAAAGAAATTCTCAATAAATTTGGTTAACAAATTCACAACCGTTGCTCCTTTAGGCAATATGTTGTAGGTATCCAGATCCAGTATCTAAGCAAAGTTTTTAATGCTACTTAGTCTACACAAAGGAATTTTCAATTTTTATTTGTTCTGCGTATTCAAATGGTATAAGTACATCGTCATTTATTGCAACAATTTTTATTTTTAAATACGACCACACACAGTACCAATATAAACATACACGTGACTGTTAAATTAGTACTGTACTCTTTGAAGAGACGTTTACATGAGTGATGAGTCGCGGAATGCCAACTATGCGTTTTTAAATGATAAAAACGTCCGATGCCATTACCGGATTACCCCAGAATTGAATATCATACTTCGGTAAAGAGAGCCACCTCGACCATGGTACAAACTTGGTAACTGTTCCAAACTTAATATTTCACTTAGATTACGTATAGATAATATATGGAGCCGGGTTTTGCTTTCTCGTGTAAACAATGTCCTTTCCAGTTTAACGTGTCATCTACGCACAACTCCGGAAAGATAACCGGTCCTGTCTTGTAATAATATTATCTCTAACTTTGACTGTGACATTTACACGAGGCGAGTTTGTATGAAATCTGATGAAATGGGTTTTATCTTTATTTAAGTAAAGTTTATTGCTTGTGGAACCATTTGGAGAATTCATTTAAATTTACTCTGCTAACTTACTAGTTTCTTTGTTGGAAATTATTAAGTAATCCAAAACGCAACCCAGTATCGAATCCTGCGAGTTTTTCCGTGCTACACATTATTGTTTACTCGTCCTTGTTGAATATAGGCAACCAGTGCAAGCTTGCCGCGTTCTTTAGTTGTCAAACTTATGTAGAAGATGTTCAAGACTAAACTCTAACAGGACGTTCACCCTTTTATACAAAACCGTGCTGATTGCTTGAATACATGTTACACCTTAATATATTTTTTTTATTTATAATATTCATAAAATGTACTTCATATTGTCCCTAAAAAGCTTTTAAACAAAAAATGTATCACTACCACTTACCTATACGGCAACATCCCGTCCAAAGCTTGATGTACTGTAGGCGGACTGCTCAAAGCCAAACCTTTCGAAAGCAACGAACCGTGTACAGCCAGAGTTTGAGACGCAACGGCTTCGGCCATTTCAACGTCGACGTCTCCTTCATCTAAATTTAAAAAAATGATAAACCACCCTAAACATACACACTACGCAAAATACCTCCAACTGTCGGCAATTGCAAATCTTTCTTCATCATACTCGCCGCACACATCCCTCCTAGAAAAGCCAGCTCGGCTTCCAAGTGCTTCAACCCCGAAATAGGACTTCCATTCCCTGCAGGAGGCCATTCGTACCCCACCACCAAACATTTAAAACCGTAAGAACTAGACCTATCATCCTTGAGATAATCGGATGCCGTCTCCAACGAAAAGATGACTTCGTTGCCTGGAAGAACTACGGAATTTGTGGGCCACTGCAAACTACACGACACATTAGTTTCAAGAATAAGTTAAATGCAACTGAGAATACCAGCTGGTGAATTTGTGCAGGACCGGCCAATATGGTAGAGGCGGCGATTCGGTTTCGTCTAAATCGAAAGATTTATTAGGAACTGTTTTAGCAGGATAATCAAGTGAAGGAACGTATAGTTGAAGAGAGTCTTCGGGTTGAGCGGTGGCACAGGCTGGATCAAATTCTAAAGTCATCCACTTCACACTTTCCGGAAAAATCACCCTATAAAGCAAGTGTGTAAATCCTACCAAAGCTACAAATTCAACTGATTTACCGGTAATTTGAAACTGTGGCAGGTTTGTAAGGATGATCCCCCTGTACCCAAGTGTAATGATGGCTAGTAGTGTTGGTTTTATATTCTACACTGTCCTGTGTTATAGATAAGTTAGACGAAACAAGTGACTTATTTATTATAGGCGTTGATCCACCAAGCAAATTCAGAGCAGAAACGTGAGGCAATATTTCTTGAATTAGTGTCAGTATGTGTACTGCGCTCTAAAATATAAAATTTTAAAATAAAAAATAAATTGTAGCGTTATTTACGTACACGTGGATCACTAGTCGCCAGAGGACTGATATGTGCCAATACTAAAGGTAAAAGTGTCATGACCATATACGAGTTACTCAAAACCTCGGCTGAAGACATTTCCTCAGCCTTTTCTCTCGCAGAAGCCATCAATTCACAAGCACTTTGAATTATAGCACTCGCCATAGAAAGCGCAGCTTTGCGAGCTTGCTGTTCTAATTTAGTCGTGGATGTTTTTCCACATTCCACCGGATTACTAAAATAACGATTCGTTTTTAAACAGGGAAACCACCTGTAAATCAACATTTACCTATAATACATTATCACAGGAATCTGCCCCCTTGTAAGTGTGGTGCCGTTAAAACTCAATGAACACGTGGAAAAAGTGAAAGTAGTGTTATCGGAACCTTTTACGGAATTTAATCCTCCATCACCATTGTTAGTTCTACCACCGTGATTTCGCAATCTTATAGCGTACTTAATATTTTCCTACACGACGTGATATTAGTCACGTGCATGCAACATACTTAAATTACACTTACTTTGATCGGTACTGGCCTGTCAAACTTAATTTCGATTATATCTGGAGCAAAATCCTCAGGTACGAAAGAACCTCTGGTTATTTCTAAACTGTTCCAGCGCTGAGTGTGGGTATGGCTTTCGGAACCGCTAAGCGAACTTTGCTGTAATGGTATTTATAGCGACAAGCGATATTGTTTGTGTATTACTTACATCCTCAAGTAGCTCTAATTCGTATTCATAGTGACCGATTCCGCCATACACTCCCACCCCGGCAACGGAAATACCTGGACGGTCTACTTGAAAACAAATAGCATCAGGAGATCCATTGCCTGTGTTCCAAGTGCGTGATTGATTGGTCCTTGTAAATCTCGACGTCGTCATGTGTAATATTCTCCCACACGCACTTTGTAAATCTTCCTACGAAACCATTTTAGTGAAAAAGACACACAGTTATATAATTTTCGTACTTCAGTGGTACTGCACTGATGAACCAACTCCGCCACCACTCTCGCTAACAAATGACAGCAGTGTTTAGTGAGTCCAGGCAAACACGTAGTTTTACTGTTTTTAAGCGTTTGATTTATAGGTTCGGAAACTAACTGCAAAAGACGGTCTAAAACATCCTTCCACTGCCACAAGGGACCGAGGTAGCAGTCCATCTGAAAAAACTTCATCTGAAGTCGTATGATGAAAACCCTACATGGGGCTTACTTGGCTTTTGTAACTCATTTGTTCTACGAGAACTGGATAGTGGTGGGAGTCCGAAATATTCATCATAGGTGCACCGGAATTGTCTGATGGACTTAAACCTCTGTGCATCGAGTTATCCGCACTTATTGTGCTTCCCAACAAAGGGAAAGTACTCCTCAAGCGTACACTAGGGGCGCATAAAGCACATAATACGGCACTTAGTAATCGTTGGCTGTTGAAAGGTGACGACCTAGATGATTCCTAAAATGTGATTTTTGATGGATACTTAGTTAGAAGAAAAGTGACTCTTACTTTATCTATTTCAGACAATAAATCGCACAAACAATTCCATTTTAAGTACGCGGTGGGGTAAAATGCGTGAAAACAAGCAACAAAAGTGTTGTGACATTCTTCAAGTAGACTGTTCATAAGAACGATATTTTGGGTTAGGTTTTTAGATTTGCTGGATTTTTTGTGCAAGAGAATCGGCAAGTTATCCGACAAGATTTGTTTTAGCAAGGTTCGCACATCGCCTACACTTTCAGCCAAATGAACATTCTCCAAAGGAATCTTTTTTATAATCTGACTTGGATATATCTCATTAGTGTATGTGTGAATGAGCCTCAAACTCGCTCGACTAATGTACACCAAACGTTCCAACTCCAAATTAGTGTACATGTTTTTAATAGACTGTCCCTCAACAACTCCCCACTTAAACGTATTCCAGGACCACTGAAGAAGTGACAGAAGACTTTGAAAACACTCTTTAGTGACAGTTCTAGAAAAGTCTTTGGATAAAATATGCACCGGTTCTATGATATCCACTTGTCTCGGTGGCGCGCTATTCTCAGGAGTAATAACTTTGTATAGTAGTTGAGGTATTTGACCGGCATTAACATCCGTTCCATTGTTAGATTTCTTTGACGATTTGAAATAGAACAAAACTTGATCTTCCGTCGTTACCATAGTTTGACCAGAAGAGCCACAGTCACTACTGGGGCCGCTTATGCGGCACCAAGCAACGTACCAACGATGGGCCTACAAAAATTTCATAACACATTTTACTTAACTGGTGAATCTTCCACTAACCTGCAGCTGTATAGGTTCATCAAATAGTAGCGGATACTTCTGTCGCGGTCCGCATTCATATGGAACCTCCTCAGTTTCAGCGAGCAGCTCACCATCACCTTCTTGTTCGCCCCCATCAGGCCCTATGTCCAACAATTTTAATTTTGCGGTATATTCGCCACGACCTCCGAATAACCCAAAACCACCCAAAAGTATATCAGTATCAGCCATAAATCGAATAGCTTCGATGCTATGACCAGAGTATCCCCAGCCCCCACCATGATTTTCAAACCGGTTCACACTTTGAAAATCTTCTTTTGAATATTGTTTTCCAGATACTAGTTGTCTTTCGTCTATTTCTTCCTTAACTGCGGCCATTTGTAAGTCATGTGCTACAGTTAGTGTGTCTAAGCAGCACAGCAAATTAATGGCTGCTTGAAACCTAGTTACGTGACAGTTGGTGATTACGGGTAAAGACAATTCCGGTGATAATATAGAAGCAATGTTGAAAGTATTGTCAGAGATTTCGGAAATGCTATCGTTTAGTGTTTTCACTTGAAAAAGGAATTTGTTATCGAAGGTTTTAACGGTATTTTTGGTTTGTAACTCGGTTGCGATTATGTTATAGCAGATAACTTCGTTGCTAATGGCGTTGTATGACCATAGTACGTTGTAGATAGGGTCCATGCACACGATTTTGCTGCAGAAATCTACTTGTTCTGGACCTTTGAAAGAATTGCAGTTGCCGTCTCTTTTATTGATTACCAAACATTTGAAACTACGTGCTGTTTCCTCATGGCTTGGTAACAACACTAAAATAAATTGTTACTTAAAACTTCTTGAGATAAATAATTTCCTTACTTATTGAATATTTATTGGCTGTAACTATCGATTTCGAAATACTAATGGAATTAATCAGACTTTCGTCAATTTTTAAAAAGGTTTGATCGCCAGATGCTCCTACCCAGGTTGCTCTACGACCGTGCTTAGGACCGACGTTTGGTATCAGGGCTGGAATACAGTACCAAGGGGTTCTTGGGTTGCTATACCTAGAGCTGCTGCTTTGACCAGGCTGAGAACAATCCTGAGGTGAGGAAGTAGGTGGCTGTCTCCCCAACTGCCCCTTCTAGAGAAAACCACCCAAAAATAAAGTGAACGCTGTCAAAATGCACCTGACAGTCGTCTTACTTGATAATTTCCAAACGTGTAGACCTCTCCTTTCGAAGTTAATACTACTGTATGGTTACTGCCTGCTGCAATATGTACAGCGCTACACGGAAGTTTCACAAGTTGTAGACTATTTTTTGCCAAGATGTCCCCACATCCCAACTGACCATATAAATTTGACCCGAAACTGTATACCTAATGTAAAATTGGTATTATTATTCCACAATTACAACATTAGCAAGTTAGTAATTAATAGTTGAATAGAAATTTAGTACGTGATGTGTACCTGTCCGTTTTGTAAAAGTACGACACTGTGATGCAGTCCACAAGCAATTTGAACGACGGGACTGTCAGATGGTAAGTGAATTTTTGCGGGTGGTAAGCATGCAATTCTTGTGGCGTCGCGTTCAACGTCAGATCCTCCTTGCTCTTTTACTATAATAGTGTTATGGTAAGATTTTAGAAGACAGAAGTCAGATTAAAAGAAAATGTACTATATATATGGAAAATAAGGACAACTCTTAGAATGAGTCTTTTTTAAATACTGAATATATCTAAATCTTCACGTCATGAAATAAAATGAAGAAAAATTTCCAAGTGTTGTGCTTTATTTTGAAATTCGTTCCATACATACCTGTTCCCAGAACATTACATTGTCTGACCGAGTTATTACCAGATCTGTGAGTGGGCGACGCAGATACCGCAGGTCTTAAAGTCTTAACTTTAGCAGTTTGTTTACTAGGACCGGCACTCGATTTCCTACCCCTATTTTTTCGCTCTTCTAACCGACTTTGTATCTACCAAATTCACAAATAAATTTTGATATATAAAAAACAAACCACAAAAATACTTGTTCTTGCAATTTTGTTCTCTGTCTCGGTGGAATCAAAACTTTATCGCGGAAAATTAAATCGAGTCTCATCATCCCAGCTAAATCCGCCAACTCAGAATTGTCGACCACTTCCCTCGCACATATACGGCAACAACCGCATATAGAGCACCCACTGTCTCCTTCGCCACATCCACATTCCCTACAAAATCAAAGCTGCGCCTGGGATTGCTTAAAATTTACTTTAACTTACTGTCCAGGATTTCGTTCGGCACTCATTGATGATAAGCAACTTATAGAATAGCCTGTACATTCCCTGCAGACAGTACATATCATGCATTTGTTGTCGTGCCACGAGTGCATTCCTGCAGGACACATATTCTGGTGCGGTTCTATTACGTTACAATCAGAACCTCCGGCCACCGTTTCACTGTCTTTTCTGTTTTCGTCACTTTCTTCGTAAAGGTCGTGCTCGTCCTGTGTACCGCAAGTATCCATTGCGACAATATTATGGGAAGTACCTTCAATTAATTTTTTATTTATTTATTTTTTATAATGGTGGTACCAAAAATACCTTCTTTATTGGTCGAGACAAAATCTCTACCGCATTGGTACTTATTATTGATGCCGAAAGTGTAAACTTGACCTTTGCTTGTGAGTGCTACTGCGTGAGCTTTACCTAATGCGACCTGAACTATAAACTCGCCCTTTAAGTTGCAAACGAGTCCTGTAAAAGATCAAGTTTTATAATAATTTAACGAACATCAAGTTAAAGGTGAATTGTTGCATTCAGTCCTAGAACCGCTAGAAAAAAAAAACACTTAACAGGACATATTTATTTTCTTAACAACCTTGTAACGGGTGATAATTAATAACTTTTGGTGATGTCATATCATGTTATATGAGTCAGGACACCGGTTTAGGACAATCGCCATCACCTTAAAAATCATGGTTATCCTTGTCAATTTTTATATTTATTTATTCCTATATTGATGGGAAGATATAAATATATGTATATAGTATTTTGATAACAAAAATTAACAATTATAACAGTTTAATTCTGGCGTATTTTGATTTACTTAATTTCAGCAAAGGCAAATGATCTAATACCTAATTTGGTGGAAAACAAATAATTTTAGGATTCAAATTTAACATGATTTATAAAAGTCTTGTTTGTTTAAATTTAAATAGGCTGAATTTTAAATTTCATATTTTTTTATATCGGGTGTCCCAGCATACCTGTTCCACTCAAATATCTCAATTATTTTAAAACAAAAATTTGAACTTAGGTATGTTCAATATATGTAATACAATCCATTAAATGAAGAGACTTTTGGTATCGTATAGTCTTCAGTTTCATCGAAACTGACATCAACTTTTTTTTCTAAATTTAAAATAGTACAGCTTGTAGTACCATTAAAGAGCGCATTTTTTTCTCTTTTTAATGAATTATGAGTCGGTATAACAGAAACTAGAAGCTTTAAAATTTAAAAAAACCAAAAATACGGAGGCGTTTCTCAAGCAACGTTTCCTCGTATTTTCGTGTTCTAGCTTGTCATTTCTAGATTAAAATAATGCCGAAAAGTTCGATATGGTACTTATTAACGGAGAGTGTAGACGAAATAGAAGACAATCCAGAGCTTTATACGAAGAAAGATCTCCGGAGAGACAACAACCAAGTTGTATGTATTTTGCAAGATTAGCAACAAATTTAGAACAATCAGGATCTTTCAAAAAGAAACGCACAGTCTTTTTACGAAAAATGGCAACAGATGAAGAAGATTAATGTGGATCCTCAGATTTCCTTCAGGCAAATCTATACAAAGAATTTTAAAAACGGCGAAATATCATGTTTACAAAATTCATTTACATCAAGCTTTAGTGCCACCTAATTTTGAAAGAAGACTGGCTTTTATGCTTGGCTGACGGACGCACATAAAAAGGGTATCTTAAGTAATATTTTATAGTCAAATGAAACTCGTTTTAATAATACTGTAATCGTGAATCGACATAATTGCCATTATTGGGCTCAGAAAATCCTCATTGGCTAAATGAAACTAATTTTCAACACATATGGGGTACCAACGTTTGGTGTGGAGTAATTTACAGTCAAATTATCGGGCCTAAATTTTACGAAGGAAATCTAAATTCGCAAATTTTGAATTTGTTGTAAACAAACTTCCTGTGTTATGTTCCACTCGTCGCGAGAGAATGTATTTCCAGCAAGATGGTGCACCATCACATAAGGGGCGAATAATAATAAATTATTTGAATGATAAATTTTCTCATAGATGAATTGACAAAAATGGAGCAATTTGGTGGCCTGCGAGATCTCCAGATCGAACACCTCCTTATTTTGCTTTAAACTTTGGTTTTATTAAAATACTTAATTGCATATGGTCGTTTTCAATCTCTTTTCTTTTTTGTATTTTAAGGACGTTTTAAAACATTCAAGTACATAAATAACATCGTATCATGTGATAGTTGAAAATACAAAAAATGTATTGAAAAATTATAGCCTTTTGTATTAAAAAAAAAAAAAGAAAATTGATGTGATTTCCGGCGAAACTGATATTATAACTGATTAATACGATGCCAGTAAACTATCCATTTAATAGACATTTACATTTATTGAATATAACAAAATTTCAATTTTTTATGTTTTAAAATAATTGAGATATTATTTGAGTGGAATAGATACGCTGGGACACCCGGTATATCACCATTTTCATTTTCGGCTATACAAATTTTTGTATTACTTTGTTCTTTAAGTTATTAAATATTAGAATTACTTATTAAGGCCAGTCGCTACGTTTTCTGAGTGGAATTTTTGGTCTATTTTCAGAATGTAATATCTCCGTTATTAACAGACTTATGGTTCGAAGTTTTAAATATATGTTGTCCATAACTTTCTTTATACCGCCTGTCTGGAAAATGGCGGATTAACTCTTCAGTACGTTATATACGGGAGTTTGGGGAGTTCCAAAAAAATTATAAAAAAATCTTTATGATTTTAGATTACGAAAAAAACGTGATTTCATAAAAGTAAAATTGGCAACACAGCACACACCTAATGCGCGAATACCTCCGGCTTACTTTCTGGTTTCTTAGTAACGATGGTGACCTAAATCCACCTTCGCTTTATATCAGGCAAACATTGTTGTCAAATGGAATTTTATCAAATTATTACAAAAACAACACAGCCATATCTTTGTGCATTCTAACTGAAATGGTAATTAAACATGGTCATGGTCGAGAAAAATATTAACTAAAAGTTTTATTAATAGTTGTTGTGATAATGAATGAGTTGTTTAGTTGTTAAACGTAGCAAAAGAACCAATTTTAAAATCATTATAACTCCACCAAAATGTGGGAAGGATTTTTTTAATTATTTTTTCCAGACTCACCAGTTGATTGTTAAGAGCGTAGCGGAGAGTTAATCCGCCATTTTCCAGACACCCGGTATAACGGAAGAGCAATTTTGTGAAAAACAATTTGTGATCATATTTTTCTTTTAATTGAACAGTTTTCAACATTGTTCTCAGCTTACAGAACTCCAGAAATCCTACCAGATATATCGTCGATTTTTTTGTTAGAAACGATACACAGTAAAAAAAGCTTGTGTCGTAGGAGTTGCCAACTTTTATTTTTACTATATCTCAGTCCCAACAAATAAAGTCAAAAATAGATCTAGTACGATTTCTAAAGTTTTGCTAGCTGCAAACAGTGGTGAAAACCCCGTTCCAAAATTTCCATAAATAACTGAAATATTGATATTTTCAAATACGTGATACAAAAATTTCAACAAAATTTTAAAAATATATGACAATAAACTGTTAAAAAAACTGCACTGGGAGCTATGTAGTGAAAGTTGTGGACAAGTTCCATTTAAAATTTCATAACAATAAGTACGTTAATAATGGAGATCTTACATTTTGGAAATATACTGACAAAAATAAGAGCCAAACGTAGCAACTCCTCTTAACTGACGCGAATCACGTAATTATTAGACTGTTCTTTACATTTTTTTTTTGCATTATGTAGTATTTTCTAGTTTATATTTTTTATGTTTTTCAAAACTAATGAATTGGACTGTTACATAATTATGTACTCGTATTATACATAGTGTTCTGTTTAACTCTTAACAAAGCTTACTTTGGTACATACGTACATTTTTTAAAGGATCACTTTCGATATTTGTTTCATTGTCATTTGACACACAAGAAAATAAAATAAAATTGATAAACATAAATGAATGAAAGTTGACCACAATATAGCACTCACGCTTTATTTTATAACCAATAAGATTTGTTTCAAAACCGGTTATTTTTATTTCACATAATAACGCTGTTTCCAAAAATAAAATAATAAATATGCTAAAACTTTCGTAAAATGAAGGTAATCCTCCAGTGTAGTGAAAATTCGATTTTTATTTTTTCACGCTTATAAATTTTATTTTTTAATGAATTTAAAATGAAATAAATATATAAATATCGTATATCATTGTAACCACAATTTAATAGTCTATCAAAATCCGTTCAAAATATACACGTTGTATATGCCGACGTCATATACTCGTCATATTTGCAATGTGCTAAATTAAGCTTTCTCTTTCAAGTACAAACAATGGTGTTTACAGAATTTTAATATCTCTATCTATTCTCTGTAAACTAAATTTCTTCTACATTAATAGTTTTTATTTCCAAATTAAAAATATTTTAGAATTTAACAAAATGCACATCTGTAGTACCAACGTCTACACATTAAAACAAATATAGAGAACACCAGTAACAGTGAAAGAAATGAAATAACACTCTATATATTTTTTAACACCATATAAATGTGTTTCGACGCACTATTTTTTTTTGTTTGTCAACATCAACATCCAACTCTTTTAATGAAATGCTATATATATATATTTCATATCATAGTTTAATCATTCATACTCCGCCACTGCCTTTGATCTGAACGCATTATGTTTGAAAACACACTTAACTTGTTTATATATAGTTAGTCTGGGGTGCTCTTCACCACCCATGATAACAAACGAATTAACAATTGTTCCAAAAATATGAATACACTGATAAAGTGTAAGGCTATGCATACATTTCTAGTGAGTGTCCTCATTTGAAACTATCTCGATCAACATTGCAGCAAGAACACGTATGTTAATTCTGACACGAGCAATGTAATACATACTAATAATAAAACAATGGGGTGTGACAACAATCCGTCCGGCAGTTTCGAAGATTATGTACCTAATAAAAATTGACACATACGACATAATGACAGACGAACGGAAACGGGAGATCTATGTTTTCATGCTCTAGAGAACGTGAAACGTTGAGAAAACTTGAAAGTTTTCGATCCTCATTATGTACAATACTTCTTTAATTTACACTCGGGAGATAAAAATTGCGATTTATTTTACAATTGTGCTGTTCTCTAATTATTTGACCTCTACTCTAATACACATTCCATTTACTCTATTTTATTTTTATTTAATCCCAAGTAAGAAATGTGATTATAGAGAGGATTAAAATTAGCTCACTGACGTCAGGCAAGATACCTAGGGTAAATTGCAGCGGACGTGTAAAATATTTTAATCCTTAACCTTAACCTAACCAAAATTTGTCCCATCTTCACCAACAATACAATTACATCCCCCCAAATTTTTGTACATTCAACATGTTTTAAATTTTATAAAATAATATATTCCTATAGGTACTTGTAGTTTATGAAACGGCATTGGGCCCAAACTAGTTTACAGAAATGTTTGTGCAACATTCGGTACATGTTTCATAACTATAACTTTTCATATCACCGATATCTCACTCACGTGGGAAATGGATGAGTTAATGTTCTAGTTTTGAATTTCATCGTTATTGACCTTTTAATAATTTTAATATTTTTACTCAAATCACATGAGACGCCACGCACATCTTGAGTTATTTTTATAAAAAAATTTACAAGTAGAGTACGTCGAAAAATATAGTGCACTTATAATTTTGACTTCATAGGCGTTTTAGTGTGGATCCCTCAAAAAATTCAATAAATGCACCCCACTATGACGAACACGTAAAAATTAAAACAACTTGAGCTAAAACTTTCGTGAACGATAACAATAGTCTCCAAGTAGTCACACTTGCGACCAGTTATGTCTACACACCTTTATTTTATTATCAAACACATAACATAAACACATCCATAAACGATCAATTTGTCCAAATTCTTTGTTTTCTAATCGTATCTGAATAAAACTCACCTGTGGATGAATCAACATGAGCAGTATCTTTTCCAAACATTAACAATTCTCCATCTCTTGTTACTAAAGCCGTCGTTCCATTATTGCAAGCTGCTGAAACAATGAATTGTCCATCAACTTTAATCATTTTCTTAGGCTTAATAGGTTTAGGTTGTCGTCGAACTTTACTCTGATCTCCATCTTCCCCGCGTCGTGCAGTACCTACTCAATATTAAACATATAATCCAAATTATATTAAATACGATTGTATTTACCGGCGAAAAATACAGATCCATCTTCAGTTAATAATATTGCATGCAGACCATCATGACCAACTGCAATATGGGTAACTTTTGGGGCTTTTGTCAAAACCAGTTCAGACCATTTACCAGTTCGTACCCCGGCTTGTTTGATCCCCAAAGATGAAGCTTTGCCGCAATATAGAACCTAGTTTTAAATAAATAATAAATAAATAAAAAACAAAAATAGTACAAATGAATACTTTTCCGGTAGTGGTTTTAATTAAACCAAACTCCTTTCCAGCACAAATAGTGGCCACTTCTTCCTCACTGCCAGTATTAACAGTATGAGAACTACCTTCTTCATCAAATGGGGCGACCCCAAACACATCAACACACTTTCTTGCTAATTTTAATGGAAGTTCAGTAACTAGTGACGCAGGAGACGCATGCTGATTTAAAATTCGAACAACAAAACCGTCCTGAAAGAAAAATTTATAGAAACATGAAATTATGAATACTGCGAAAACTTACATCTCTTGAAGGAGAAATAGTTCCCAAGTTGTCGCCATCAGAAAAAATTACTGAGGCAGATTCGTCCCGACTATGTAACGGAACGGACCCCGATATTAACAAATTTGTTCTTTCTACTATTAAAAATTCGTTGCCTCGTCGACCATTCAGTTTTAAATATAAATTATCCTAAAATTTGAACTCTCACATAAAATACACGTTACTGGAAAAAGATATTACCGGACAATATACTAAACTTCCTGTATCATTAGGATAAAAATCTGGCTTCCAAAAGTAAACATGACCTTTGAGAGTCCCACCATAGCCAGTCCCTATTTTCAAAAGACCATGACAGGTGAACAAATAAAGGTATTGACCATCACAAGCAAGTGACTTTAATAATAAAATTATATTTTGTAAATCATGTGGCATTTTTACTATAAAGGAATCAATTTTAGAATCATTAGGGACGCCATGTGTTATCCAGTCTGGTCGAATTACTTTGCCTAATAATACGCCTTGAACACTTCTTTGGAGTGATGACAGCACAGCTGGCATCTACAATTTTCATGCAATTTTAAAAAACAACAAATTTATGACTATATATATATATGTAAACTAAAAAGCCTCTACTATTTATGTACCTGTATATTTTGCACAGATAAAGCTCTAGGACACATTAGTAATGCTGCAGCTGCCGATAAATATTTTCCAGTATCACCTCTAACCACAACTAAGGACAACAAACACGCACAAGCTATTGCAGTTAAATGAGTACCATCATTTGGAACTGAGCTTTCAGGTCCATGCATACATGCCAAGTCCAGTAAAAGATCAAACAAAGGATCAATCACATCCGGTGGTTCTGATTTCAATCCTTCTGGAGTTTGTCCTTGCAAGACATCTAACAACGCTGACAGTGCTTTTGTACAAAGAGTTGGATGAGTTATACGACTCTCTTTAATTAGTTCAAAAACTGATCTGAGTCCTAGGCCAACAACTTTTGACACTTTAATTGGAATATACGTGCTACTTTGACTATTATCTTCAGTATCACTGTCAATCTCGCTCTGATCCTGTAAAGGTGCACTACAACTACTCTGCAAATATTCCTGAGTTGCTTGTCGCATCCACCGGTCTAAAACAGCTAATCGAATCGATGCGAACACTGCGAAAGCTGATGCATTTCCTGGTAATTCCATCTCCGGTGGTGTCTGGAAGTCATTTTCACACATCAGTTCTAATTTACTTTTCTGTTTATTCCGTGACTTTATGGTTTTCTTTTTTAGTTTTTTCCATTCCAGTCGTTTTCTAGAACACATAATTTGTAGGTTAAGATTGTTTTTCTAAAAATTTATACATACTTTTGACTGTCAGGGTTCACTCTAAACGTCTCGTGAAAGTATTTTCCTAAATAATACGGCTCAGGTAACATGTTTTTCCTGGTATTAAAAAGAAATAAAACTTGGAACGAAATTATCGATTTTCTTCAAGGATGAATCATCCCCACAACCGATCGATTTTTATTGCCCTTTTTGACATACCGCTAATAAAAATTAATGCTGCCTTGTTTTCATTCAAGTTTTTTTATTATTTTAGCCACCAAGTATTTTTTAAATCCACACAAATTTAATTAAACCGGCAAAACCATCAACAGTGGTTTAACCAACAGGCATACCACCTCACCGAAGCAAACCAAACAACCACCCCACTTCGAAAGAAATTTTAACAGCAATTGTTAGTTAAAAGTTACACTCCACTGCAGTATTTATGCGTACGTGTTGACGAATTACAACATTACACACGTTTAAGAACGATGTTTTGAAAGCATACGATCTAAACTCATAACATTGACTTTTGACACTAGTTACGCTAATGTGGTAACACTGAATTTATCCACCAGCTGGTTGGATGTGTGAAAGTTTAAGGTAACTTCACACGTACACATGCGTAATGCTGATGTAGCAATCCCATAATAGGGCTGTATCCTGCGAAGTAAGCGTAACACGTATTTGCACCTTATTAAATTTCACTAGCTGACGTTTCACATGACACTCATGAAAGCACGATTGTTCATTTCAGCTTGCAAATCTTGCTTTAATTGAGTCGTAAGAAAATCTTTGTACATAAGTAAACAAAAATTAACAAGAATTAAAATATATATAGGCTATCATTTGATTAATATTTTGTATATTTCGAGTCATTTCATTAACTGAAATTTTTGCAGCTGGACCACTGACTTCGAACGACGCTCATACAATAAACATGTATAAATGAAAATCTCGGCGAATGAAATCTATACTAAACGATGAATGATACAAAAAAAAACTAGAACGAGGTCTTCCTTACAACCACATCTGCATGCTAAATTATTATTTTAAGTTATGCCAGCTGCAATAACTGCATAATGACGCAGGAGAATTGTTATTGTAATTTGGTATAAATATATACAATCTTTTAACATTTCGAACCATGTAAAAAAACAATAAGGATAGGTTGATAACATAAAAACATAATATATAGTTTTACCACGATTCGTGTAGGTACCACATAGTTATATGCTTGGGTGCTCTTGGGTGAGGGGGTTGGCTAATATCTTATGATTTCTTATTCTGAGTGAGGGAGGTCTTAAGAATTTATTACGTAAAATTGTTTTGTAGTAAAACTCAAAGTCAAAAATATTAGGTTATTAAGAGTATATTATTAATATTAAATTAATCGTCTTAATAAATATAAAACAGGTAAAATAATCGGATTGTCACTTATCCTAACCCCAAGGACCAAATATGCTTTGGTAAAAACAAAAGTCCACAATAATAAAGTACGACCTATTAGCGAACATGATTGTTTTTTTTTGTTAGTGGTCGCAGTGAAATGCCAAAGAAATATATAACAAAAAATTACACGAACATTATGTTTGAATTTAAAAAAAAATCTAAATTCATAAACTTAAAATAAAAGTTTATTTTATTTTGATGATTCCTAAGCTAGACTCCACGAATTTTACTCTTTATTATACCGAGGGAGCAATATAAAACAGGATCAAAGACAGCTATGGATTTTTGAAAGTTTGTCTTTGATCGTGGCATTTTCAGCCCAAACTTTTAAATTAACGGCAATCTGACAAGAGAAAATTCTATCAAACAAAACCTTCGAAAATTCACGGCTGTCATTGATCGTGTTTTTTACTGCTCTCTTGGTTTAGAAAATAGGAGTATAAAATTCACTAGTTATTAAGTTATTAAAAGTATTTACAATTAAGAGAAGTCACGTTTTTAAGAACTATAAAAAATTGTTCTTCAATGATCGGGAAATATGAAATTATGTCAAGTTTCACAATATTGTTACGTTGTAGAGATATTTAAAATCGGCATGGGTAAAACTCAACAATTTATTTCTTAGTAACTCAAATTTACACAGCGATTATGTACAGAAGAATTCCGACTCGACTGGAATGGATTTGACTAGACTCTACTTCATTGTCTGGACTACACTCGTTGACTGCATAATCTCGTTCCCGAAGATGGCCTCTATTTAAATTCATACTTCCCTTCTAGATGTTTCGCAATCGAGGTATTTCTGGAATACCCATTGCGACTTCCGCTTCCAGGCTTTTCTTTAGCGAACGCCCCCCGGCCGCCGTCACCGCCGTGAATTTGTCATTCTGCTTAACACATGCTACTTAATATTCTTCTAGCTTAAGTATAATTGTAAAATTTTTATGGTCTTTTCTTTCTCTGTTCAAACGGGGTCCGACTTTTCTAATTTGGCCCATGTTTTTTCATTCTGAGTTATTTACGTTTCCTCCACCGTTTTGAATGCACAATTTTTACTCTTGAAGTACTTTATCGGTTTCTGCCAAAAATTTTGCCAAAACCTCAAATTCGGCAAATTTTCCATATACCACCTTTTGAAATGACCTTTTTTTTGAGAATTTTCGAAAATTACCCAAACAAATCCACTTACAGAAGCCATTTTCGGCAAGATTTCGTGCAAGGTTCTACCCATTTTAAGATGAAATTTGGACATTTTGGAATCGAAAATTTCGAAAAATTTTGTCTGAGACCATTAAAAAGCCATGTTTTTCGAATTACCTCCTCGAAATCTCCATCCCAGAATTTATTGTGGATTTTTAGCTTTATGTACTTGCAGAAATCATTTTCGGTAACATTTCGTTGAAAATTGCAACCACTTTTCCAGAATTTTCAAAATTAAATAGGTGTGGTTATTTTGGAATATTTAAAAAAAATTGATTTTGAAACTGAAATTTTCGAAAACTTGGTTTGGAACCATCAACAGGTTGTTTTCTCTTCTGTTCGAATCATCTCATCGATATAAGAGGAACGGGGATATACATAGCGTAAAATTTCATTTTTGAAAGTCATCTAAAAATTTTCAAAAAAATTCAAGGTGTTGATTCCAAAAATATATCGTTTTTGGGGTTAAGGAGCAATACTTTCGAAATACTCTGCTCACCCTCTTCATTCTAGTGTCTTCAATTAATATTGTTCAGCCTTATAATACTAACCCCACCCACCCGCCCTCTATTTTCTTAAAATGATCTTGAATCAGGATAAAAGATTCGTTCCTGATTTTTTAACTAGAGATAATCAGAACAAAAATCTACTTATAACGTAATTCTTTCTAATTTATTAGTCATCAGTTTCATCAGTATTTGTCGTACTTCTTCTACTTTTAGTTAACTATGTCGCAATTTTTTTATTTCCTCTGATCATCTAAAGATCTAAATATTCTATCTTTGTATTCTAATCAAAACTAATACTAATCTTCCCAGGTTACCATTTTGGATCTTTTATGTCCCTTTTTTCTTTAATTTCTTCAAAAAATATTTTAATCTTCTAAATGATCGTATTCCAGAATAAAAATTCCATTGCGAATTTTTTCCCTAAGAATATCCACTACAATTTTTTTTATACTTTGAAATTCACTTCTTCTAACTTCTTAGTTACCAATTTCGTCAGTAATTATCGTGGTCTTTTAATTTATTTCATCATTTTTTACACTTTTCTGTATCATTCTTCTTTTAATTTATCATAAATTTCACTTAATTTTGTTATTCTTTTTTCATTTCTTCTGTTCTTCTAATTGATCTTCTTCTAAACTGTCTTATCTTAGCAAGAACTAGCCCCACCCACCCACCCACCCTCTTTTTATTCTAACGACTAATTTGATTTCTGTTCAATGAGATCATTGATTTCATTCAGATCGGATAAAAGGAGACAGGGTGGGTGGGCGGAGTTATTTATATTCTTCTGTCGAGTGGCAGTGGAAACTAATAGAATATAGGATGTGAAAAAAAAATAAGAAGCGTTAATCGTAACCGAAAATAGTTGAAGAATGGACGAAAATGTCAAAAGTGCTAAAATCAGTATTAGCTTATCAAGTACTCACTCCTCCACCTGTCCTATATTTTCTCAGACGGTATACCATTTTGTCAAAATTAGTCTTATCTTAACAAGTACTAGCCCCGCCCACCCGCCCTTTATTTTCTTAAAGGGTATGTCTTTCACTAATATCAGTCTTGTCTTAACAAGTGAAGAAGTACCTAAAGCACGCCTGTGGTATTTGTATTTCAGAACAATTAAAACGATAACATACCTTCCAAGAAAATATAGGGTGGGTGGGCGGGGCTAGTACTTGCCCAGATAAAACTGCTTTTGGCCAAGGGCCTACACTCCTACTCTCCTATTTTCGTGATATTATAAGTTTCATAACCAAAGTTAGGCATAGCCGAAGTTACGGGGAATCAATCAGACAAATATTAAATACGACGGCGCGACGTCAAGCGATAAATTTGGCTGGCCGACTGTGCACTCTCATCCTCAGTGGTATTTGTTGCAGTTCAGGATTTATTTGATCAAGATCATCACGAAAATTGTGATGTTGAACAGTCATTTTTAATTTTTAAAGCAATTTTAACATCTAGGGGAACTCGTATAACTGAGGAAAACCTAGAAAAAGTGGTCATTCTTATTAGAAATTCCCGAAGTTGTAGGCCACTACTGCAATAGCGCTGGCGATCGGACGGCAATGAGGATCACTTCCGCTATGCCGAAGACTGTTCATAATTTATACCTTTCTAAGTTAGTTCCTATAAAAAATTCGAATTAAGATATTGCGTGAAAGCAACAGGAAAATATGTAGTTTAAATTATTATTAAATGCTGTGGCTGCCAAATAAGATTTCATATGTTTGAACTTATGTCATCTCATACTATTTATGCTATATCTCGTACTGGGCGCCATAATTGTTCGGGGACTTCAATATAACTTCACTACTATTACTAATCCAATTATACCCAACTACATGTAGTGGTTGGTCATCTCACTCATTGTTAGAAGTTATAGCACTCTATCAGTGTAGATAGAGTAATATGTGTTTTAGCATACACCTGTGTTAGGTTAATTAATAATTTCCTTCTATGCTTAAGTATATACTGTGGAATTTCTTTTTACTTTATTTGTGTATTATGAATATTATGCATTTTTCAGTATAAAACTGTGTAAAACTATTTTTTATTTAATATTTGTTGATGGATCCTAAACTATTTCGATTACTTTAACATGAACTAGTTGTTATTTAAAATTAATTAAAATTTCTCATACAGACGGAACACTTGGTAAATGTATTGTTTATTTAAAAACTGTGGGATTTCAGTCTTAATTATTATTAATATTCAAAGTCTTGAAGGTAAGCGAAGAAAAATGTTGCTGCCTCGGTGGGAATCGAACCACACGTTCCCCGCTTGCCGAGCAGGTATCCTGACCACTAGACAATGAGGCCGCTTATCTTTCTCCACTTACCAACGTGTTATTGTGCCGCCACAGTCTCTAAACTGCAGTTACCTGTCACAGTTTTGAACACTTATTATTAAATAAATATAACTAAAACTAAAATAAGATAATGTTGCGTAAATAAATTATTAAAAAAAAAACACAATCTCTTCCAACACTCCTGGCCACTAAAGAAATTTTAAAAAATCTCCTCTATATTTTACAGATGCTCTATACTATACAATTCTAGTCATAGGTTGTATGTGTGTTGTTTTCATTTTTAGGTACATAAGGAAATATTTTTACCAGGGGAAAACAGTCAGTGAGTAACATAGACCCATATTTTCGAACGCGTAGGGAAGTATGTGAAGTAGGTACCCTCGAGATAGGGTACAGGGGGAATGGAATGCAGGTAGTTTTTAAAAAGGGGTCTCTTGGTAATTTATTTTGTGCTGTTAGACAAACGATGTTTTAAAAAAATGGTAAGTTAAATTTAGTTGCCCTTCACGGACGTAATTAAATATTAATGATTTTTTAATCTGAAATGTTGTGAAGTTTCGACGATGTCGTCAACACGTCGTGTCAAATTTTATTGTACTGCAAAAACAAGTTACTTAAAAATATTGCAATATGTTATTTTTTCAATTGTAACAAATCTTTTGTGCAATTTACTTGAAAGACTCAGAAGTACAATGACCTGAGCACGTGCACTTCCCTTATCATCTCTTTATTTTTCATTTATCCTCGGTCGGATTTCCCCTGCTTTGTCAAGGGACCAATAAATTTAATTTTGACAAAAAGCACGGGCAGTGCGACAATGTTTTTGTCTCAAGTTGAAAATTGTACATAAAAATTTCTTGCGGAAAAAGGGAGTTTATTATACACATAACAATATAAATTCTGTGTTTTATTAACAATAAACAAAAACACTTTAAGTGTCACGCTAATTTTAAATAAAATCTAAATAAAACATTTTCTGTTGGAGCATCTTGATCAAAGATGTTCTACAAAATTTCCTTTTTATTTTAGATAAAAAAAATAAATAAATATATAAACAGTCTACAATGTCTTTGTCTGACACAAAAAATGTACTTATAAGATAAACTTTATCACGTTATTGCAAAACTAACACAAAACAATAAAATAAAATAAAAATGTAACTAATAATCACTTTTATAATATACACAGTGAACCATATGTGACTGCCTGAATGCTATTATAAATGTAAAAAGTTCTGTTAACTTGTCATATAACGTACAGCTGCAGCCTTATCGAATTTACAGGTTTTTGCAAATAAGTAGCCCATCGTACATACATATATGTAACAAAATTCCTTAAAAATATTGCATATGTTTAACAGATTCTGAGGTCGATTAAAACATAATGATTTTCGACCTCACCGTTTCTAAAACGATTGAGCAGTCAATTTTTCACTATTATTTTCCAAAAAATATCTATGCAAGTCATATAAACTCGAAAAAACAAAACTAGGGTCGATATCCGGGTACTTTTCCTTGACTTTTCTCATACTAATGTCATGTATAAGCACCGCATTCCATCCACTATTTCTAGCTCCTACGAAATCTAGAAGTACTGTGTTGCCGACATGAAGGCAGTCTTCAGGCTTAATTCCTTCAACTTTTGACATTTCCATGGCCTTTTCAAAAATTTCACTGTTGGGTTTGTCTACTCCGAGCTCGTACGAACCGGCAACAAACTTAAAGTAATGGCGCAATTTAGTGTTGATCAAGGTCGCTTCTAGCCTCGGATCAAAGTTGGAGATGACTCCCATGGGTATACCCCGGTTCCTCAAGTAGGACAAGAGTCCTAAAGCTCCGTAGCTCTGCTGCCAGCACATGGAAGTCTCGTAGAGGCGAATGAGATGAGACGCGACGGAATCCAGCTTCTTGTCGTCAAGGTCGATCTTGGAATCCTTAAAAAAAATAAGTATTTGTGTAAAATTTTGTGTTATTATACTTAGTTTTCATTGGCAGGGGATTATAACCAACAAAACAACTACTGAACTAATAAACGTATATCTCATGTTATCTATTGTTTTATATGTTTTTGCGAATTATGTTCTTACAGATTCACCCAATCAGTCTACTTTTTTTAGAAAGTCCAATACCTTTATTGTTTTATTATTTCGTTTATGCGTGTTTTATCTTATAAGAATCATTGGCATACTTATAAACTGTTTTTGTTGGTAAATATGTAATTAATTGATTAAATATAATTATGTTATACTATTCAAACATCTGATACAATAAATATGCACGGGTAATATGTCGGGCATTACCAAACTGCGCCGATCGTTTTAACAATTATTGTACATAATAGAAAATAATTGGATTAACTTTCCTGAATTATAATAGATTTGTGTATTGTCCACATGTGAATAGTGTTTATAACTGTTTGAATGAATTATTATTATGTTGAGGTCCCTTTTGTATTGTTTCATTAGTAAACGCTATCAACAATTTTGGTTAATTTGGCGAATTTTTTGTTTAGAAACACGGTTGGTTATTTTATTTATATATTTGTTACACTACAATAATCAATAATAAGTGTAAAGGCAGTTGATCTGTTGAAGTTTGCCGTAGACAGTTAATCAAACAAAGTCGTTTCAATGTATTGTTCGATATGCTTAAAACTGCATATACTTAGTTGTGTTAATAACAATGGGAGCTTGGATTAAGTGCTAAAGCGTATTTACTGAACGTACGTTCATAAACAAAAAATTAAAAAAAAAAAATGTCAAGAAACTTCAACAAGTTTTTGCAAGAATCGACCGAAAATTGATTAAACGTTGTTTTTAAAAACATCCTGTGTGAATTATATATAAAAAAAAGTCAATCAAAAATAAAAAATGCCGCATTTTGGGACACAAAGTTCACAGGGCACTGAATGCAAGAAATATTTATGAAAGCCCTGTACTATAAAACGCTGTACAAGCCATTTTGGAGATAATCAATAAAATGAATTACCTAAATTTTGAAGGGGATTGACAAACATATTAATTAATGTTCTGTTATCCTTAAATCCTACCTAGATTTGTAAAAGTTTGTTATGTATTTAATTTAGATAAATTGCAAAATTTTATTTTTCAAACTAAGTTTTTACAATTTGTTAAAATAGGCAAAAGATGTTAAACCTCAAATAAAGAAGTATGTTATGCCCAGACTTCAAGTGAAATTTACTTAGTAGGAGTAATTATCTCAGATAACGTTATTTCTTGCAAGACATAAAAAGGTCAAACATATGTACATGTATAACTATAGTTACGTTGAGCCGCTTCGAGGGTTTTCTAGGCCCGTCGCGACATCCGCTTCCAGGCTTTCCTTTAGCGAACGCCGCGTCGCCCGGCCAATGAGTCATACTACATACTAGAAGACCCATAGGCGTCGTACCGAGGCGGCGTATGGTTTATTTCGTAGCACTATATTGAGATCACTTTGAGAATATAAATTAGAAAACGTTTCATATTTTACGAGTATACTGCTTGGACTTTAGACACACATTTACATTCATATTTATGTACAACTCTTAATAAACATATTTTCCAAGTTGGATCAACAGTAACAGTGAACTCAACTTAAGATTCATTTTTCACAAATCTTGACATCTAGCAAAATTTTTAGTGTTACATTGAAGCTCAGTAAAATAAACTTAGTACTCAATTTCACAGTGATATAGGTCTATTTTTTTTTTGTACAAATAAAGAATATGCGGATAAAAAATAAATTAAGTGGATATCAATATTTAGTGTATTGATTTAAGTATTCTACAAAAATAATTTTGAATTGTGGAAACTGAAAAAAAATGAGTTCAGGTAGTGATTCTTCAGAAATGATACTACAACAATTTTGGTTTTAACTGTTAAATTTTAACTTAAATATTTCTAAATCTATGAATTCGTCACTGAAATTCACATAAGATCGTAAATATTTAGTTTATTTGTACGTTTACATGCATAAGTATATCGCTAATTTTCTTTTTTTTTTGATAAGGGAGGAACAAAAAAAGCTAGTAATAAAGAACTCACATATCAAGTGTAATTTTGCAACCCTTTTCAAATTTGGAGAAAAAATAAAAAAATTGGAAAACGGGGGTCACAAACGGATAAATCTTGATTGATGATTTACCGAATTTCCGAGAACCTTAAAACGTTTGCAAAATTTTATTCGGTGAAATTTCAAGTTAAATTGTAAGATATTGTTATACGATTTTGACTTTTATTTTCCAAATTTCTTGATGTCTGTGGTAAAAACACAAAACGGTTTCATAAATTACAAGTGCAGGAGTATGTTTTCTTATAAATTTTACGTAACATTTACTTCTTTAAAATTTGGTGATGACGTTATCCCATCGTCGGTGGGGGGATTAGACCTAGAAACTTTTCAAAATCAGTTACACTTCGACACGTTAATTGGGTTCTCAATTTTTTTGTTTTTGGATCATTTAGATTCTCAGAACACTTTTGTAAACCCGTTTATTGAGATGAGACAATTTGAAGTCATGTTTGAGTATTTCATTAGATTTTCTTTCACGTAACACTCAAACTATTTCAACGCTGAACATTACGGCCACAAGATAATATAAAATTTATTAGCATAATTTCATCCGTAGAGACAAAGTGATAGCGTTTTTACCATTTTGTGATTCTATAAAATTTACATACTTGTCTAAAGTGTTACTGCTATTACGGTCTATTTCAGAAATATTTTGCACATTTTATTATGCAGCAAAATAGAAGTCTAAGTAACAAACATCTATGTATATCAACAAGAAAGAATTATTAGTTACATTTTTTAATCGAGGGCATGTTCTAAAATCAAGAAATTATTCTAAAAATCCACGTTTTTTATACATAGTAACATTAGTTACAATTTTGTCTAAAAACTTTGTAATCGTTTTTTTAAGATATTCACAAAGAAATATCAATTGTTCCGAGTCCATCCGGCGATTGGTTACTTTCATTTTCTCGATGCGTCATCGAGGGTACGAAAAAATGGGTCCCTTGTCTGTCCCTCCGTCTGTCTGTCTGTCCGGTGTTTGGGTTAATTTTTGTAAGATATATAATCTTCGAAAGTATCGGACCGACTGTTGTCAAATTTGATATCTGCATTATGAATCTCATGTAGACGGTAAAACACTAACCAAACTTTGTCTACTCATCCCCACGAGCCATGCGTTGACGTAACCTCAAAATTGTAAATAGTAAATGGATTTTAAATTCTTTAAATAACATAGTCCTACACGTCTAGTTTATGAATCCGTGTTGAGTTCTTACCCGAAGCGTCCAGATTAAAAAAAAAAAAAAAATTAGACAGGTGTTCATTTTATCTGTTCGCACCTGAATATTTCTGCATAGGCAACCCATTTTACGTTTCATAAACAGCTTTGATTAATTTTTATCTTTAAATTATGGCAAATTATTTCTGTCAGCCAAATATTTTCAATTTTCTTTTGCTTTAAAATGTCTTCGAATTCTGAAGAAACAGACATGCTAATAATATTAGGAAAGTGTGACAAAAATTTTGATGCTGCTGTTCGTCTCTACGCCAGGCAATATCCCAATAGAAAAAGTCCCTCAAATCAAGCGTTTAGAAAACTTGAAAAAATTTTACGAGAATTTGGACAATTAAAAAAAATAAAGTTAGAAATCGAACTGTAACAACGCCGGATAATGAAACTGCTCTAATTGAAATTGTAGCAGAAAATCCCCACGTGACTCAAAGACAGATTGCAAGACAACTAAGTGGAGATTAGTTTGGGTTCGGTAGGATAGGACTTTGTGAAGATAGTGGAGGCAGGCATTTTGAACATTTATTGTAAATTCGTTTTCGTTGTAATCTAATCCATTAATTTTTTCAATTTTGTAATTATTTGGCATTGACATCTTTGTCATTTTTTTCTGTGATTGCTATGATTGCTTACTAAAAAAAAATAAATTGGACGAAGTCGTCTCTGGGGTGTATAATATGTTGCCTATGCAAAAATTGTGAGGAGTGTACAGATAAAATGAACACCCTGTCGATCCAGATATAATAGACAATTTAAAATTTACTCCAATATCCTCTGTCGATGTTGAAAGATCGTTTTCAATGTTAAAACATGATTGTGACAAGCGCGAAAACATTTAATAATCAATTCGTTTCATAAAAATTATAGCTAAAATACAAATACTGTGTAAGCAGCATTTTCTTACATACTTAATTTTGTTGTTATTTGAATTCTTAAATTGCAAATAAACGTTACAAGACCTGTACTTTAACAATAAACAATTAAAAATGTCATTTTGTTTTATTAGACATATTCAAATTAAGTATTGGCATATGCATGTTTTGTATATTTAGCTGTATATTTTTAATAAAGTGGTGCATATTTTGGCTAAAAATGTGTGCATATTATGCGCATATTTCTTCGATATTTTAATGCATACAATCCGAACCTTAGACTACTCACTTCTTCGTTTATTCTAAATTTACCTGCAATCACCAGTTTGTCATTAATTTTTAAATTCTCTAAAGTTAAACTGTTAATTTTTTCTTTTAAAAAGCAATAAATTTTAGCTGTACTTTCCGAAACACTCTATGTGCGCTAAGAATTGTTTTTCACAGGACACTAAATTTTGAATCTTGATATTTGTTTCAGTGTTTCTTTTGGATTCATAATTTTAACGACATTCATCGTTTGCCTTATTATTACAACGAATTAAACTGCAGTGCATTTTAAACAAATATTTTCTATTTGACTTTTTACTTAAAAAAATTGGTCTAAAGAGTTTAGACAGTACTTCCCTCGCTGTCGGAAACTTGACGACTGCATGCCTATTGTGTTTTTTTTCTCATTACATTTTTGTAGTGGGAATTAAAAAAAAATTGCGATGACGTCATCAACATTTTTGCAAGGACACGTATATCAGTTGGGATAGATGTAGTGTAATACTAAGAATAAAATTATTATATTCTCAAATTTTCGGGAAAATGAATTGGGTCGTTTTGAATATTGATTTGTAATAATCAATAAAATAACGAAACAATTTACTCACGTATACGTATCAGAGGCAACTGAAAATCGTGTATGTATAAACATTCTTAATTTAAGATGACAGGCGTAACAGCATACGTGAGAGTCAAACAGAGAAACTGTAAACAAAACGACCATCGGTTTTATTGCTTCGACTTCCGCTTATTATATAAAACATTGGGTTTTATTTTAATTCTTGACGGTGATTGGTTGATTCTAAACATGTCTATTTCACATTCGCGGAACCAAGTGAGCGCATAAAACAAATGCAGGTCTGTAATGTTAAAGTCGATGTAAATAAGCGTGCTACCCTTATGTTTCAACCGAGTTTTTCCTTTAACAAATTTTGTGTCTACCAAATTGGGTTGGTTGGGGTGTAATACTAATAATAAGTGTTGCCTTTAATTTAATCAATAAAATAAATTGACTTCATTAATTTTTTTGAACCACTTCTTAAGAAAATCTAAAAAATATGAATGGAATGATAAATCACAAGTACAAACTCATCATATTTTTTGCATTTTACCTTAGATAGGATTTATTCAGCAAAATTTAAGGGTGACGTCATCAATTTTTTTAGGAGGGATGAACAAATACATTTTGAACAAAAGTTTACCATGCTTATAATAACTTTAAAATATTCCCAAGATTTCAAAGCATTCTCTTTTGTAATTCCTGATTAAATCGATAAAATAAATTCACGCCTTCATTAATTTTTTTGAGTCACCCTGCATATGCAAATCCAAAAATATGAATGGAATGATAAATCACAAGTATACACTCATCATATTTTGTACATTTTAGATACGATTTATTCGGCAAACTTTTGAGCTGACGTCATCAGTTTTTTGTAGAAGATAACCAAATATATTTTGACTAAAAATTTATTATGCTCTTTATAACCTTAAAACATCTGCAAGATTTCAAAGCATTCGGTTTTGTAGTTCCTGATTAAATCAATAAAATAAATTTACGCATTCATTAATTTTTTTGAGTCACCCTGTATATGCAAATCGAAAAAAATTGAATGGAATGATAAATCACAAGAAGAGACTCACCATATTTTGTACATTTTAGATAGGATTTATTCAGCAAAATTTTGTGGTGACGTCATAAATTTTTTAGGGGGGACGACCAAATACGTTTTGATCAAAAATTTACCATGCTTATGATAATTTTAAAATATCTTCAAGATTTCGAAGCATTCGGTTTTGTAGTTCCTGAGTAAATCAGTAAAATAAATTTACGCTTTCATTTATTTTCTTGAATCACCCTGTATATGCAAATCCAAAAAATATGAATGGAGTGATAGATCACAAGTACAGACTGATCATATTTTGTACATTTTAGATATGATTTATTCGGCAAATTTTCGAGCTGACGTCATCAAGTTTTTGGAGGGGATAAGCAAATATATTTTGACTAAACATTTATTATGCTCTTTATAACCTTAAAACATCTGCAAGATGTCAGAGCATTCCGTTTTGTAGTTCCTGATTAAATCAATAAAATATATTTACGCATTCATTAATTTTTTTGAGTCACTCTGTATATGCAAATCCAAAAAATATGAATGGAGTGATAAATGACAAGTACAGGCTCATCATATTTTGTACATTTTAGATATGATTTATTCGGCAAAGTTTCGAGCTGACGTCATCAAGTTTTTGGAGAGGATAAGCAAATATATTTTGACTAAACATTTATTATGCTCTTTATGACTTTAAAACATCTGCAAGATTTCAGAGCATTCGGTTTTGTAGTTCCTGATTAAATCAATAAAATATATTTACGCATTCATTAATTTTTTTGAGTCACCCTGTATATGCAAATCCAAAAAATATGAATGGAGTACAGACTTATCATATTTTGTACATTTTAGATATGATTTATTCCACAAACTTTTGAGCTGACGTCAAGTTTTTGGAGGGGATAAGCAAATATTTTTTGACTAAAGATTTATGATGCTCTTTATAGCCTTAAAACATCTGCAACATTTCAAAGCATTCTGGTTAGCAGATTAAAAATTAAATTTCAAAATGTTGTTTTATAATTTTGATTTTTTTTCCAAAAATCTGGACGTTTCGGGTGAAAAGTCGATTCAGAGTTGTAAACTACATGTGTAGGACTATGTTATTTTATACAATTGAAAACCCATTTACTACGTACAATTTTGAAGTGACGTCATCGCATTAGTGGTGGGGATGATTAGACAAATTTTGGTTAGCGTTTTACCATCTACATGATATTCTTAATATAAGTACAAAATTTCACAACAATCGGTCGAGTACTTTCGGAGATTATCTGTCTAATAAAAATCCGGGACGGCAGACGGACAGACGGACGGACAGACGGACAGACGGACAGACAGACGGAAATGGGAGACCTATTTCTTCGTCTTCTAGGGGTCATGAAAGATCGAGAAAACGTAAAAGTAGAGAGTCGGCCGACGGACTCGATTACAATACTTCCTTTGCTTACGCTCGGGAAGTAAAAATGACAAATTACAAAAAATCGCATAGGCGGATAACTGCAGTTTTTTAGAAACAAACCCGTCGAAAGGAACGTTCATGATAAATTTAACAACTATGACATACACGTGTTACTGACAACCAGTCATACAACCCAGAATATTTTGATATTAAAATTTCATGCTATTAGTGACTTTTTTCAGAAATCTTTATAATCAAAAAGGTGTCAAATGCACGCTACGAGTGTCAAAATATTAAAATATGCAAGCGAAAAACGTAAACTATTGTTAGTTACTCAATTCCCACATATTTTAAAGAATTTAATTTACTTATTATCAATAATAATATAGAGACAAACTTTAAATATTTTGCGCTCCCTAAATCTTGCCTTTTTCACTATTACCTACATGACCACTAGTCGTAAATCTGAATCCAACAAACCTTAAAAGTGCCTTTAACAATCCGATTCCACCACATCTCCCAGCCCAGTCCTGTATTCCTGCCAAAATTGGGATGTTCGGCGTTCATTTTGTGCCAATGCGATTTAAAATTGGCGCTCAACGAGTGGCTGTCGACCAGGACGCCGTACATCGCGCCCACCTCCCCGTACTGCTTTCCCGGAGCCGACCGGAACTTCAATAAGGTGTCCGTCACATCGAAGGTTATCAAACGGAAACGTGAGATGTTCATTGTGTGGCACACTTTATCACAGATCCGGAACGACAGGGTTGTGCCGCGAGGAATTAATCGCACTGATCGCTGCGCTGCAGGCACGATTCGTATACATTGGACTGATAGAGCTGACTAAGCTCAAGGTTGTAGCAGGAGACACATCAGCGTCGCGAACATCGGGGCCAGACGGGCTAAATCTAATCTGTTTACAGCGTTTGAACTGTGATAACTGGGCAATTTTTGTTTTCGCGTTACAAGGTGATTGATTTATCGATTGTTTTGATTAAATGAGGGCAGTGTAAATGACAGTGATAGTTAAGTTTTTTGAAATTGGAAAAAATAACAATATTTTGTGGGTTTAATTCAAATACCCGCAACACTGAAAATTTCACTGTACTCGACGCTTTCACCTAGACTAAATTAAAAATTTGGTCCAAAGTTATTTAGTCCTTACTTAGTCCCTAAGGTAGAATTAAACAAATCCAGTCTCTTCGAAAAATTATAAAATTTGATTTTGCGACTTCTATTTTTTCCTATGGTTAAATTATACCCACAAGCAAAGAAGCATCCTATGTCTATATTGCAAGTGAGTTTCTCATAATAACTTTTATCACCACAGTGGAGAAACTATGACTACATCTTTCAAATTATACGTACAGAGATTGTGGACTTTAATAATACAAATGCACTAGTACACTTTAGAAAGAGACTATCGAGAATATGGCATTCTACTCGGGTACCTACCCTATCTACAAAGTACAAATAAACTATACTGAGCGTACACAAAGGCGTTTTTTAAAATTTGTATACTATCGTCAAAATTACAATTATTCATCAAGAGCTTAACACTAGTCGTTTCTACCTTCTAAATTCAACCCTGATTTTGACAAATCTCACAATCAAATTTTTACTTAGTTTATTTACGGGTCATATTATTTTCAAAAACTTAATTCTTTTATGCCGAGAATTAATTCCCTTCAGTAGCTTACATGTTATTGGATACTAGTACAAGTAATGTTTTGCGAAAGTCATCTGTCCTGTAAGCTCAGGAAGTATTGTAATAGGGTCGATCCGGTGAATTTTTCTCGACCTCTAAAATACGAAACAATAGTTTCCCCGTTTCCATCTGCCTGCCTGCCGTCTACCATTTCCCGTCTGTCGCCTGTGTCGGTTTTTACTAGAAAATTATATTTAAATTGTATAAAATAATATACTCCTAAACTTGTGGTTTATGAATACGTCTCGATTTTTAGCCTAGACCTTCAGATTTTTGGAAAAAATCATAATTGTGTAATATTTTAAAATATAATTTTGAAACTGAATATTCTGAAATCTTGCAACATTTTAAGATTATGGGAAGCATGGTAAACCTTTAATCAAAATTTATACGTTTCCTAAATTCATGCCGTTGTTTTTGTTTTGTCTAAATAGCGCAAGAAGAATTTTTTTGGGGTGATATTTAGTTGAATTCATATCAGCATGTTTGCATGTGCTATTCTTAATTTCGGTAATGAAGATTAATATTACGTTATAATTTTTACTTGCTGAGTGTAAACTAAGTCCATCAGGTGACTGGCCACTTTCATGTTTTCTCGACTTTTCATGGCCCCAAGAGTACAAAAATTTAGGTCCCCCGGTCCCGTCTGCCTGTTTGTCTTTTTGCCGTGTGAATGATCTGATCTTAACGTGGTAATTCGAAAAATATCACGATTTTATTGTATCAGAACAAGATTTTCGAAATATTCAGTTTGAAAAGCAAATTTTTTAAAATTAACATAGTTCAAATGACCATTCTGCAAAAACGGTAACATTTTTTTAAGAAATAAAGCCTAAAATTACTCCTATGGATTGACTCCTTTAAAAAATGTCTTCAGCTAATGTTTGAAGGTGGTCGAAAAATTATTATCAAAAGTTTCACAAGGTAGGTATTAAAAAATTGAGATTCTGGAAAAATAGCCTAAAAATTCATAAAAGATCTAGAATATAGATCTCGACGTGGTGATTTGAAAAATATAGCGTCCCTGACTAAAATTTTTGAAATATTCGGTCAGAACGTCAAATTTTTAAAAAAATTCTATAATTTCCCACATTTCAATTGGCAATTCTGGAAAAGTAGTTAGATTTTTCGACCAGATGAAGCCGACAGCAATTTCTGGGAAGCGAAATCTACACGAAAATGTCTTTCGCTAATTTTCGAAGGTGAGTGAAATGAGGTCAGCAAATTTTTGGTGAGAAGAGTAAGCTAAATTATGGTTAGCGCTTTATTATCCACATCATATCTAAAATCTCACAACTGTTAAATCAGTAGTTTCAAAGTATTAAAGTGTCAGTAGGCGACAGAAAGGAGATGACCTAAACGGGAGAACTACTTTCTTATATTCTAAGATTTACAAAACGTCGAGAAAACATGAAATTACAATACATATTATCTTATGCTCATGTAGGAAAAAATAAATTAAAACAAAAATACAAGTGAATATGTGGCAGTACAAGTAGCAACAATAAATTTAGGAAAATGTGCTATTCGATTAAAAAAAAAAATGTCAAACATGCATTATGAATCGATGTCAAGTTTTCACCCTAGAAATCCAGATCTTCTAAATTATGTAACAACATTACTACAATTTAACTTTGAAATTGGAAAACCAAATGCTCTAAAAACTTGCAAATGTTTTAAGTTTTCGTAAGCATGGTAAATCGATATAAAAATTTTTTCGTTTATGTCCCCCGTTATAATTTTGCCGAATGTGTGATTTAAGAATCCGTGAAAACAACCAGATTTTTGGGAAACATTCAAAATTGTATTTTACAATTTAACTTTTTAATTGCAAACCTGAATGCTCCGAAATCTTGCAAATAGTCTAAGGTTATAGGAAGTAAACGTTAATCAAAATGTATTTGTTTATGGTCTCCCCAAAAAATCATGGAGTCATCTTAACGAAAATCACAATTCTGCCGAATATATATTCTTTAAATTTGTCTGATTTATGAATCCGTGTTGAGTTTTTACTCCTGTCATCAAGATTTTTAGGAAAAAAAAGTCAAAATTGTATAGTTAACAATATTTTAAGGTTATTGGAAGCTTAGTAAATTGTTAATCAAAATTTATCAGTCATCTTATAATTTTGCAAAATATATATTCTTCAAATTTAGAGTGTTTTTGTGAAAAAATTAATCGTCTCCTCGTCGTTAAGAGAGACAAAATCAATCAATTTCATTTTCTTTTAACCACTGATGTTTATAATCTGAAGGTGCCAATAGTCGAAATTATTCGAAGTATAAACATAAACAGTCAAAATTAAGCATGTGCTGAGAAACTGAGAATATCTACATTTTCCCGTTGATTATCTGCTTTGAATATATTTCATATTATCCATACTTCTGTCGACCGCGCTCCCTTCGATTTGGGCCTGCGGGGGTGTTAATTACGCCAATGGTTTTACTTCTATAAGTTATCATAAAACCAAAATTAAAAAATTAAATTTTATAATTTTCTAAAGAAGCGGAATTTGTCGGACTATACTTCAAGGGCGGGGAAGTTCTGTCGAAATACTAATACAATAACTTTATATTAATTTATTTAACTTTATATACATATTTTGTGTAACTGGGTTTTCTTATTTTTTCAGAGCATTCGGGTTTGTAATTTTAAATTAAATTATAAAATATTGTTATCCAATTTTGTGAAAAATCTTCCGAACGTAAAAAATAAAGGCAGATTCATAAATCATAGGTATAACAAATTCCATCTACACGATATTGATAAAATACATTTAAAATTCCACAGCTTCGAAGTAAAAATTTAGTCCGAGAAATATTCGGTGTCTCAGGAATAATAAGATGTTGTAGTGTTAGTGTTCCAAGTGATATTTGCACACTAATTGCTCCTTTTAACGTTTTATTAATAGACATCAGTGATAAATTTTATAAGTTTAAAAAAGTGTTCATTGTACATGTACTAGTTGTAGGAAAAATACAATGTACAACACGTATAGAGTGTTCATTTTTCCCCTGCTCATTGTAGTACACACAATATACTAGTGTGAACAGTTTCAGATAAGATAAAGTTATATATAAGCTTAAAATGATATGTTCGACTGAAAACTAAACCTACGTCATCTAAATTTGCGTTTGTATTAAAAGTTTCTTAAAACAGTTTTATTGAGCGTTGTACCTAAATCTAGTTGTGGCTTGAAAGAAACAACCTTAACAAATTACAGTGGCGGCTCGTGACCTTTTGAAATGGGGGAACACAATTTGATTGATGAGTTAAATATGAAGATATAAAACAGGTTGTTATTACCAATTAATAGACGAAATTGTGTGACGGAAATAAATACAAAAATACATTCAACAAAAATAAAAAAGGATTTCTCTACATACCTTTTTGCATTCGGTCAAAATTTTACGTTCATGGCATCTAAAAGTTTATTTTGGACAGTTTAGGCGTGTCTTTAAAAACCGTTGCTTCTTTCAAATGATCTGATAAAGTCCAATTCAGCCATAAAATCAATCAGACCTCGAATATACCTGGATTTTGCGATTCCCTACTTTCGTCATGTCCACGTAAACCAAATTCAAACACTCCACAAAATTTTATGCACATTATCAATCGGCGTAATATATGGCATATATATCCAAGAATATTTATTCGCGCAGAATGAAAATTAAAACCCGCGATAGTAACGCAATCCTGCCGAGCACTGTCGGAACGGGACCGCCAGTCCAGGTGAATCAAGCAGCTAGGCGGTATAAACAAAACGTCTAAATCAGCCATGATTTGGACTCTGTTCCCGACTTTTATCAGCAATTCATCAGAAATAACATATCATAGATCCAAGACACATTTTTAGAGGTAAGTGTAAGTAAGTTTTAATACATTTTATACAAGTGGAGCGAGATAAAAAAATTAGTTTTGATAATTGTGACACAAATTTCCGAATAATTTTTTAAATAATCAGTTTACCCGACTGTTGTGATTAGTGTTGGCTGACAAAGTTAATATTTCATATTTATGAATACGTCCATAAGCGACATGCATTTTTTTATTTTCATTTAATTTGCGGCAGTTCAGTTCATAGGATGACTAACATGAATGCAAAGGATATAAAGCGTACAAAAGTGTTAAATAATTTGTTAGAAATATAGCTTAATTT